GCTGAGGTGCTCCGCAGAGGAAGCTTTCACTAGCCATCTCCCTGATCGGTAATCCGAAAGTGGTGTTGATCGATGAATGGAGCGCTGGTGTCGATGCGGCTACGAAGCGCCAGATGTGGCATACCCTACGCCGAGCTACAGCCGGCAAAGCAGTCGTCCTTACTACCCGTAAGCGAGAACGCACACTTTCCACACATCAGCCATTGACTCGGTTGTCGTAGATTCGATGGAGGAGGCATCAGCTTTGGCGAACAGGGTCGGGATCATAGCTTCGAAGATGCTTGGTATGCTCTTTTGTGCCGAACTCGTTGCCCTGTCTTACACCACAACAGCTATCGACACAGTCCCCGCGCTGTGTGCACGCTACGCAGTGTACGAAGTGCATCTCTCAGCGCGAACAGCAGAGCAGCAAATGCGCGCTCGACAGCTAATCGCAGCCGCTTTCCCAGACGCAAAGCAAGCGGAGGACGTCTCGACACGGTTCGAAATTGCGCTCGAAGATAGGACGCTGGCAGATCTGTTCGAGCGCTTGGCGGAGGTGGAGGCTAGACATGATACAGGTGCGGAAGGGCTGGAGCACACCGTCGAGCGACTTGGGCTCGAGAGCGTATTCCTGAAAGTTGTCAGGGGTGACCAGGATGGAAGACTCGTGGGAGAGGAAGGAGATACAAAACCGGAGAGAAGAAGACGCTGGTGCGGACTGTTCTGACATTGATATGATAGAGACGATCTTCATCGGGAGCTCGGCGGACTCATAGACCATAGATAGACAGATACCTGGACACTAGACGTATCATTATGAACCATTCATGCGCAGTCTACAGAAAGGGAGTGATACACCCGCCAAGGGATTGGAGGGTGAGGGACAGGGTGAGGTCGTGGTTATAGTTCGAGTTATAATGTTATAGTTAAAGTCATTGTTGAAGTGGGTCTACTAACCATCAGTTCTGGTCTGTGTACATGCCTATGGAGCCTCGCTCAGACAGCAAGTCGGATCTACAAACCCACCGTTTGTCTCTGCCAGGCTGTGGCAGAACTCTGGCGACAAATCAACAGGATGCTCATCATGAGGTCGGAACGGTTTTTTTTCTTGCCATGCCTTTGAAGGAATTGATGATCCACCATGAACATGTATGGTCAGAATGAACTGGGCACTGATGGGAGAGTGATTGTCATTTTGTTCAGATCTACTTGAGTGGCGTTGCCTTTCTTGCCTGCATGGTCCAAAAGCAATGAGTTGCACCACTGCCAGAACTTGGAGAGTGGGAGCTGATGGGGCTGTAGCCACTCACACCAACAGCCATCCATATTGGCCTCTTGATCTCCCAGAATTCGATTTGTTTCTTGCATGCAGCTGCCTCCAAAAGTCCTATTGCTCTGGCAATTCTCTCCAACTATTTGGTGCTCACTTCCCCATCCTCATCACAAGATATCTCAGCACCCATCCAGGATTTGTGGAACAGCAACTGCAATGCCTCAGCATCCATGTTCTGCTCCCATGCAAACTTTGTCACAGGCCTTTTGAGTATGGCACACCACTATGCTCAGACAGTGATGAGATACTGGGCATACAATATGGTGTACAACTCAGTCACCTGTCTCTGCTTGCATGCATTGCACTTGATATCAGCAGCCTTACAAGCCTGGTCAATTTTGGAGTGCTCACTCTTCCAGATAATCTTCATTGTCCACCAGGATATCTTTCCCAAGTGCAAAAGTGCTTCAGTAGATGTCCATCAATCACTATGCTCATGAGGAAAGATAGGGTTTTCCTGAGCACACAGATTTAGCTGAGAAGGACATAGAAGCCCATCACACATGGCATGCAGCAATCTATGCTGTAAAGTTTCCACAGCATGATTGAGGAGAGCAAAGTTGTTGGGAGTATCTACTTGACCTGCAAGTTCAGCAACCCATTGCAATGAAATCATCCTCATCACTGCTCTTTGTGAGACCAGTGAACAACCCCACTCTGGTGGGGTGTGTCAGGCCAATATTCCCATGGCTATTTTCAGGCCCTTAGAGACTGTTGCAGGGTACTATGGACCCTCACTACATGGACAATGCACCCCAGCAACAAGCCTTGGCCCACCACGGATACTTGGTATGGTGACTACTATGATTCCCCAGGGGATGGGACCACTTGGATATTTGGCATGAGAACTGCAGGTTTCCCCCACAACAGGATCCACCCATCCAGATATTTGGCATGCCAATGCCTGCCTTAGAGAGGTATCTGGAGACCAGTTTAGTATAGAGTACAGTTTATGGTAGCTAGTATAAGTAGTTTCCAGAAACTCCTCTATCTAGCTTATTCTGCCCCTTTCCGATAGACTTATACAGATCCAATTATCCCCTTGCTGGATAGGCAGATTTGACTTGACTTAGCGGATTCAACTTGACTTATCATGACTTGACCAGACAGACACCAAGCTCCGATTATTGTGTACCAACTTTCAATAGCTCAGCTACAGGCTGACTCCCACAGTTCTACTGACTTTCCCCATCTCTCCCCTCTTTTCTGAGTGAGTTCTCACACACCACCCATCAGACTGATATTTCAGAAGGTTAGATCACCAAGCAAGAAACAGCCAGCAGAATATGATTTCCCTTCTCCAGTAAGTAGTGTCCTCTCAGGCACTGTGATGAGAATGAATGCCAATATACCTATAGGTCTCCATGAAGAGGCATGAGATTGCCAGGGGCAAGAACAATGAGGAGGTAGAGGAATCTGATGGGCATGTGGCAGATACCTTTGTTCCCTCAGAAGTGAGCTCAGATGAGGTTTCCTTGGATGCCCCCCCAGTTACCAACAGGAAACCCAGGAAACCCAGAACATCTGCAAGGGTGCATGCCTGTGCTCAATGATTCAGATGCCCAAGCTGCTGGTGGAATGAGTTGTGCATTATTTGCTTTCTTGGGTCACTTGCTAGGGCTTGGGAGTGATGAAGATGTCACAACCCTGGATACCCCAGTCATCAGAGTGTTGCACCTTGGGAAATGACAGATCTCTCCTACTGTAACTTCTTTTCTCGCTGTCATTGACTATGGTTGGTCAAGAGAAACAGAGGGGAGATGAAAGACATGTGCCGTGACTTTTCTGGTCCCTGGTTCAAGACTGTGTTATATGTGGCTGTAAGGGGTGGAAACAAAATTCCCGTGTCAAGGCTCTCGGAATACTTTTGGCTGACTTCATTTGGTGAAGTTTGGTGCATTACGGAGCGCTTCTCATATACTAAAGAGACAAAAAGGCACTCTGCCCACTACAGGAGTCGATCCTGTGACCTTTTGTTGCAACTACGCGTGACCAATCACATTCCGTACAAGACAAACGCTCTACCACTGAGCTAAGAGGGCGAACCTGTTGGCCTACCGCCTAAGAGACCTGAGGCTAAAACCTATGAGTATTCCAACCTCAGGACTCTATAGGCCTTTTGTAGGGAAACTGTACACTAGTCATCCACACTCATGTGTAATGTCCGCAACACGTCCATGCCTGAAACTGCGTTGTATGGCATAGTCCTTCGTACCGTTTTCGCTTTTTTCACTCCTCACCGACCTCGTTCCGCCCTCGGTTGCCCAAACCTAACCTCCTTTCGCCCATCGCACTCACTCCACCGGCCAAATCAAGTTAAACCCCCACAAGACCAACAAGATCCCCCCAATTCGAAACCTCAAGTCGTCTTTGAACGCCTTGATCAGCGGGTGCACTGTCTGCCCAGACACAGGCGACGGAGGAGGCGGATGGCCGTGCGTGTGTGTGTGTTCGTGCGGATGCGGGTGTGGATGGGCGTGCAGATTCGGACTCGTCACCCCATTCTCCACCTGTCCTTCCACCTCCAGCTTGCCCTCGCTCACAGCGGACAACGGGATCTCCTCCTCCCTGACCACCCCATTCGCCCTCTCCCCTTGCGCTACTCTCGGGTTGCCCACCTCCCCCACCCCCGGCCCAAGACGCTGCGTCGGCAATCCCTTCTCCTTGTCCTTTCCCAGCACCCAGGCCGTCAACACCCCCGTCGCGCCTGCTACTCTCCAGCTCAACCATCCAAACCCGAGACTCACGAGTACCAGATTCGCCCACCTCCAGCTGTGGGGTAGCACGATCAGCAGTCCCTTCGTGTCACCCGCCAGAAGGAGATGATACTGCAGAATAAAGGTTTCGAGAGATATCTTGCCGATGAATGCGAATAGCCGGGAGTGGGAGGAACGTAGTGAGGGAGTGAGGTTGCGCAGGAGGACAAAGGCCGTTATGGGGAGGAAGGAGACGTAGGGGTGGTAGGCGTTGTACACGAGCTTGGTCTCCCTTGTCAGTTCGAACCAGAAGAACCAGGCAAGCGTAGCGAGTGAAAGGACGGCAGCGAAGCGCTTCGCGATGGGGAAGAATGTGTGTTCGGCTAGCCGGTGTTGGGTGAACTTGAGTGTGCAGAGCGCGGTCAGCGCTCCGAGCCAAACGATCCATAGGTCGAGCGAGACGCGGAAAGTCCACTCTCTCGCGTTCCATGGCAGGCGGAAAACCTTTCGAAGGAGGGCAAAGAGCGCCTCGTTCACCCAGGCGTTATACATACTGAGCGCGACCAGTGCTGCTGATGCTGCCATCTTGGGGAGGAGGAAGAGCAGCCGGTCGTTGTACTTCGCCCCCACGAGCATCGTAAAGTAGATAACAAGGAACCAAAACGACACGAGCGGAGCGAAGTAGTAGAAGAGGTAGTCCGTGTTCATCACGTACGCCAAGGCGACGGTGAGCATGTTGAGCCTGACAAGAACCTGTGCGATGCGCGTGAAGGAGTAGTCGGCCTTGCGGTAGTAGAAGTGGAAGTGCCCGTAGCCGGTCATGAATAGGTAGGCGGCGACGAGCACGCGTACGGGGTTGTAAATTCCTGAGATTTGAGAGCCGCCGTAGTAATGGTACACGAGGATGATGACTAGAGAAAGGGTCAGCATTTTCTCAGAAAAAGGGGAGAGGCGCACTCTGCATCCAGCCCTTCCATTCATCCGTCTGGTCACGATTCAAGAACCCGGCATCCTTCTCCCCCCACTTGAGCGTCCCCACCCCGGCACCCAATCCCAACAAAAGCAGCCCAAAGAACCAGACAGTGTCAAACTGCTTCTGCTCTTTGTCCCAGAGAGGAGTCCGGTCCGCGAGATAGCAGAGGAGGACGGAGAGCCCGAAGATGGAGAGTTGATGCTGTGCGTCGCCGGAGGGGAAGAAGCTTCTCAGCAGGGGCCGCTCTGTGCTGCGGTCAACAATTTCCTCTCTGGTAATTGGAGGACGTACCCCTTTTTGAGATCCAGAGTCGTGCAAGCAGGCCCCACCCAGCCACGCAGAAGATCATCAGGCCCTGTACGAACCCAGGCAAGGGATACGGCCTGCAGCAAGTCCTATCCCAGGGAAACTTTTGCTTCAGAAGCCTGTTACACCTCCTATTTAGGAGGACCTGGATCTGGGTAACCAAGACCTGCTGGGCGAAATGCAGGCCGTCTTCGGTCTGCGCCGGGTCGAGCATGTCGTTGAATACTTGCGGAAGAACAACTTCCCCGGCTGGGAGGTCGCCATGTTCTTCCTTTAACTCTGGGGCACCAGAGCGTGAGGACCATGTCCAGCTGCTGGGGGCTCGGACGCGCTGCCTCAGGTCAGAGTTCATCGCTGCTACGTCCGAGGGCCGGATAGTGCGTCTTCGTTCTGGGTTGAGCTTGGAATATACCGGGGTCTCAACGGGGAGGAAGAAGAGTTCGTCTGCAACTCCCTGGGCGGAATGGAGCAGGGAGAAAGTGTTGTCGAGCATCTTTTCCCATGCTGGGAGCCCGCCGCTCGTCGGGTTGCGGAGGTACCATAATCCGCTGCCGAGGACCAACAGCGCAGGGGGCTTCCCGCGTGAAGGAGTGGTAAGCACCTCCTTCGTCCTGCTCGAATTGAGATAGGGATCCCAGACAAACTCCACACTGAGGCTCATAGCGCTCGAAACGAGGGAATAATCGGTATGTTTCCCCCCATCGCTCGGATGTGTTGAGGGTAATAACGGGTCGGCGAGGTGCGCAAAGGTGAAGAAGAGTTGGCGGACCGTGCTGTCGCCTAAGAAGACGACGCGCCGGTTTTTGAGGCAGGGGGAGAGGGTGGCTGGGATGTAGGTGTTGAGCATGCAGCCTGCGTTCCGTGACGTGAGCTGCAGGCAAGGGAGGGAGGGGAGGGGAGGACGTACCCTCCGGCTGCCAGTTCTTGAACCCAGAGTCTAACCATCTTCCTTTTGTAACAAGCGAATGACAATGATCTCTGTCGGCCCAATCTACTCATACACACCCAGGATCAGCCACACGACACCCAGTCCGATAGATGGGACGAACCAATAAGCCCAAGCCTCAGAACGCCTGTAAGGAGCGTGACGGCTAATGTGAGTGTGCAGAGGTATTGAGGCCATAGAGGAGGAGGACGTTTGGCTGGGGGCATGGTAGGTGGTGGGAGGGAGGAGAGATGGAAGGGCGCTTATTTTATGTTGACGCGCTCAGACCGGGGATAATCAGAGGAGCGGTGCGACTAGTGCTTGTACTCTGACTAGTAGACGGTGACAGTCAAGCAAAGTACTAGTTGCTCATCGTCTATTTGTGCGTCCACGCCGTCTTGGCCGTTGAGCATTCGACCCTTTGTGGCGGCGGGTGGGGCTGATAATCACAATGAGGTAATGATGCACTAGCACCTCCGAGTATCCCGTCATCTTGTTCAACGACGACGACGACAACGACAGCTATAATCACGACGGTGACTAGACTTCAACAACGACTTTGACTATAACATTACAACTTGAACTACAACCACCACCTCACCATGTCCCTCACCCTCCAATCCCTCCAGTTGCACACACAAACACCGCAAGACGCACCTCCAATGCTCGCAACTCTGTACGTCTCCTCATCGCCTCCCAATACCACTAACATCCTTTCCACAGTAACCTACTCTACCCCTCCTCTTCGACCTCGCTCGCATCAAGTTTCTCTCCCGAGACTCTCACCCTCCATCCTCCAGCTTCACTTCCTCCTCCAGCTGCCGCTACTCAGCTTCGAGGGCTCGTACTCGCCGCACAGAAAGTAGCATCCCAAGCGATCATAGGCAGCGTTCTAGCCGGAGGAGGAAGCGAATCAGATGAGTACGGCGATATAGGCCTCTGGATTCCCAGCCCCGATTCCACTACGCTCGGAGCTCAGGAAATAGGGCAAGAGTTAGTCAAGCAGCTCCAGCTGACCGTCTGGTCTGGAGCGGAGCTCACTCCCCGTCCTCCTTCACTTCCCCTGCCTTGGGAAACTATCCCCGCTCCCGTGTCCAAGCCCTTGTTGGAAGGGCTTGCACAGTTGCAAGAGCCTGTATCCTTCACTCTGCAGCTTGATGGTGCAGAGGGAGACACGCCGGTGGTCTTGTTGGGAAAGATGGAGGGCGGATGGGGTGGTTTAATCGCAGCCGGGGTTTGGTCCTAGTTGCTCGTGGTGGATAAGAAGGAAGAGGGATGTATGCTGTAATAATACAAATGCAATTCGAACCGTTTGGTGTTGCGTCCTTTGTCCTTGCAGCCTCACGTAGTCGACCTACTCCTTCCCCTGTCCCTCTTTCCCACCGCCCTGCTCCCCGTTCTTCTCTCCGACACTCCAAACCTCCTCCACCACTCTCCTCACCTCCCAAATCTGCCCCACCTGTTCCCCGCTCATCTTCCCCAATACTCCTCCCAGCTTCTCCCCCCTCACACCACCCTCCTCCTTCGCCTGGGCCTGGATAGTGCGCAGGTAAGACATCCATTGGGTCTGGAAACCAAGGATGTGAAGGGGGTTGGTGGTGTCTTTGTGTAGGCGAAATTCTGGGAGGAGGTGAGCGACCAACAGAGCGCTGGCGAGCACTGAGGACGAACCGGACTTGACATAAGAGTCTCCAAGACCTCGCATATCCTTCGGTAACGACCTGTGAGCTCGCAGAAGGGCTCTGTATAGCCTATCACCCGGTTAGCATCCCGGCATTCGAGGTCAAAGTAGGCCGAGGAACCAGGAGGGGACGTACGGGATTAGAGCGAGCTGAGAAGCGCTGGACTTTGCTGTTTGAGGATTCAGTGGCCGGGAAGTGAGCGACTGCGCAAGGTGGGGTATAGTTGGTCGCATTCTGCTGCTCTGATGCTCGAGATGGGCTGGGAGGGAAGATACAAGATATGAAGCAGTGGGAATGATGATAATGCGAAATTTCAGCAACGAAAGGGTCTCGATGTTTTTTTTGGCTGCTTTTGTATGTACTACCACAACCCCGAAGCTGCTTCTCTCTACTTATACTTCTAGAACTTCTCGGTTCTCGCAAATACGTATCACGCATTCCGATTAGATGTTTCACTCTTTCAGTAGCCTGCTGTAGTGCTCGTACAGAACCTGCCGGAGAACGCCGCTTGTGTCTGGCCACCCTCGATCCACGGAGGGAGATATAATCAGAAAACTCATGGAACAAAAGGGAAACCTAAAGATAATATGTTCTTTGCAGAACACTCCGCTCTTTGTCCTGTGCAAGAAGCTGGTCAGCGGACCTTCCACATAGCCAACCCGGTACATCTGATGTCCATGCAGATGTCACCCTTTACTGACCCCCGCGAGTTCAGATGGCGGATTAAATCGCAGGAAATATCTTGTAGTTAGTTTCGAATCTATGTCCCAATGGATCGAGGGCCCCAGACAGGCTGATGTTGGTGAATATTTGCACACCAACAGTCTCGAAGTCAAGAGCCCCTCCAGAGCCATCCGAGCTCACTCTATGTATATGGGTAACAGTTCATTCAACATTGGACCTTACGGATACAGCATGCTAGTGCGAAATGAGATATGACCCCCGGCCTAGTCCCACAGCGTATTTACTAGCAGAACCCGCTATCTCGTTTTGCGTGCCTTTGTACCGATAGAAAAACAAAACAAAATGCCATACCTGACGCTGAGGCTTGTGCCACCGGAAAGTGCATGTCGTAGTTGGTATGGGATTGCATGAGTGTGGGCGGAACTAAGCCTAGGAGAGGTGAGCATCAACCACCTGCGCACCGTCCGGCTTACCCAGCTGAGCCGGCAGCCCAGCTAGTTCCTACCCTCCCTCCTCCCCTCCCTTCCTCTTGCATCCCGAGCCCTTGCCTCGCGTGCTATTCTCTCCCCTTCCTTCGCCTCCAAATACTTCCCAATAAGGTACTGCACCAGCTCTCTCGAGTACCGTTTCAACGCTTCCTGTTCTTCGTCGAGCTCTGGCTCAGGTTCAGGGGAATATTCGTCGTGGTAGAAAGATGTGTCCTCTGGTTCGGAGTGGATGTGGTTCGGCTGGTGTGGGTGGCCGGTTGAGCGGGTCGCGGCGTAGGAAGTCATCGTACTAAGGCAGGGTTGGACTGAAGGGCTCGAATATTCCAGAGAATAATGGAGAGGTGAGTGCAAAATGATAAGAGTATCGAAAGGGTTGGCACGGTGAAGGGCCCCAATGGGGTAATCGGATGCCACTCGTCGTTGGCGAAATTCGTGGGGCAATCGAGGATGAGCGAATGAGCGCCAATGACACCTTTTGCGCGTCAACCAGCCTTGCTCCAAGGCGTCTCCCAATAAAATGTCGGAAGAGGCCTTCTGGCACGGAGCTCCTGGTGAAGGGAGCAGAGGGGAGGTGGCAGAGAGTGAACCGGCCCTCCAGAGCCACTCCAGCACTCCGCGGCTCCTCATCTAAGCCCCCCATTCACACTCGCCAGCAGTTCCAGGCCCCACCTACCCGTGCCATACCCTGACAAATTCAGGAGCATCACACGCCTTGCGTGCCCGTGCGTCATTGCTTGCGTCCTCATGAGGCCATCTCCCATCGGTTGCTTCCATTCCTTCTCTGGAGATCAAGTCCCGCGCCCCCTAAGAGCGGTTCATAGCCACCAACCAGTATTCCTTAGTACAGGAGGTGCCTGAGTACAGGTGTCAGAGTTTGATCCACTGAGATCGGCGGCTGCCAGGGAAAAACCTCCCGGTCAGCCCAGCTGCATGGCCATCTGCCCAAGCTGAGCCAGACGACGAAGCCCACGGCTAAGTCCATCAATAGTTAGACATCAGCATGCCACCTTCCCGCTACACGGCCCTTCTCAAGAGGACGAAGAACATAAAGAGCTTAAAGTGTGGAGCGCAGTTTCAGCAAGTGATGTCACCATCAACCACTCATGTGCCGGAAGCGAGTTTCCCCGGAGGCATCTCCCTCATTGGGGCGGGTCGTTCCCGATGAGGCGAATGTAGGGGTTTTTCCCTTAGGTGTTTGCCTTTCGTGTTTAATGGATTATGTATGATATACCAAAGGGAATCAGTCCCACAAATCGAATAGAAAGGCAGATGCAACAACTCATCCTCCAAACGTCCCACTGGTCTTCCTGTCCGGCTTAACGGTAATATCGCTCCCGTCCCTTCTCTTCCTTCTCAGTTTTCTTCGTATAGTAACCTTGGAATGTACGCTGGTCGTCCTCAGTAACTCCACTTTGTCTTCCTCCGGTTCTTCGGGGAGAGGTGAAGCAGGCGGAGTGTGGAAGGCGTCTTCTCCCGGCGGTGGCTCAATGACTGGAGGAATGGAGGGCGGGTCCGAAGGTTGAGGTGTGAGAAGTGACGATTCTCCAGAGCTTCTTGTCTTCCCCTGCAGCATCTCTGGCACCGCTTCCTCTTCATCATCCTCCTCCGGCAGCCCTTCGCGGAGTGTATGCAGCCTCAACCCCTTATTCAAATCCGCCAACGTGCTGTCCCTCTCCTGAAGCAAGTCGAACTCCACCTGCTCAACCTCGTTCTCCTCCTCTTCCTCACTATCCAACGCGGCAGCCTTGACGTACTTGTTCCCCCTGTAGTCTTCCCAGAATACACCAGGGGAGAGAGCATCGATCCACTGTGGTAAGAGAGTCCAGGTGTCCCGCAATGCCCTCGCGGAACGCCGCTTCCATTCCATCTGTTTTGACGAGCGGGTAGAGACGATACTAGCCATTGATGCTGCGCTCGTCGGTCGCCCCGGGACGGTAAGAAACGCCGAAGTGGGGGAAGTGAAGCTCGGATTCCAGGAATCCCCAGGCTCTGCCATAAGGTGCCTCACCCCCGTAGGCCAGAAAACATGCAGTATGTAGGTCGCGTTCTGCAGTTCGCCAACAGCCATAGGTGCTTGAGGCGGCACCCAATCGGCCATTGTCGTCTCCCCATCAAAAAGGGCATCGATCGCTTCTTGCGCACGGCGCATCTCGGCCTGCTCGTCCGTCGCAGAAAATTGGCCGGTTTCCACTAGCCCGGGAATGAACCCAGCCTCGCTGCTACCTCCATCTGATCGTTCCCTCTCCCGTGCCTCCATATCCTTGCGCATACTCTCCACGCCGATCCTGAGCCGGCGCCTTTCCCAGTCCCGCTGCATCTGTTGCAGGTACTGATTACACTCCTCGTTCATGTGGCTCTCGCCCACCTCGTACCGATAGTCCCGCACGGCCTTGCGCATCTGGAGCGGGTTGATCCTGCGCAAGGTTTGGACAGTGGCAATCAGGTCCGAGAACTGGTCGATCTGACTACAGCATTGGAGCCATTGAAGGAGCTGGGAGAGCGGCTCAAAGTGCTTCGATACGAGACTTCTTGGGAGTCCCTCTCTACTTGTCCAGTCCTCGAGAGTGCTAATATTCATCCGAATCTGGAGAGCGCGACTGCGACACAAATACTTGCTTCGCGAGATGACTTTGTTGAACATGTCCGCGTGCATCCAGACGAAGATCTGGGAGAAGATCTGGATAATGTATGCAGGGTTGAGACCGTACAATCGGAGTACGCGGAGCAGGGAGGAAAACAACGTTATGAGCGTTCGCGGGGAATCGATATCCGGCTCGTCTTTTGAAGAAGGGGAGAAGTTTCCCGGTCCAGGTGGTGTCCGTGGTCGGGAATGAGATACGGCTTTTCGGAGCTCGGCGAAAACCTTGGGCTCGGCGCTGGCACGAGCAATGTTGCCCCCTGCTTGGGCGGCAATGTCCGTTATTGATGAGGATTTGGGGGGCGGACGAGGCGGATCTTTAGGTGGTAAAGGTGGTGGGACGGCTTGTTTCGGTGTACCGGGCTTGGAGGAAGGGGAGTTGTTTGCTGATGCCGGTTTCTTCAGTCGGAGGGTGTCCCGCACCCCTTTCAGGAAGGTCCATTCGCCTTCGTATTGAGGAAGATCAAACCCTTGGTCCGGACCGAGAGGCGTGAAATCCAACATTGTCGAATCGATTAGGGGTGCCATTCGATGTTCGACCGATCTGACGATGCCGTCTAGAGGGCCGTCAGGAAAAATATGCATACAACGAAGCGGCAACGTACTGTAGATGTAATCGAGTAACTCTAGCGCGACTCCAACGTGCTCGAAGTCATCTGCCCAACCGGAGACGAGCTTGTCGGTCCGAAGTAGATACATGAGCAGGGTGACGTTGAACGCCCAAAAGGCAAGGATCGGGACATCGTTGGTGTTCTACAGAGGGATGAGCCGTCAACTTTAAATTAACTCTATACAATGAGCCGCGTACCAAAATGATATCCTCAATCCTGCTCAGTCCTCCTAGCAGTACCTCGTCAAACCAATCTTCGTCTGCCTGGGCGATCGCGAATCGGCCACAGAGCCAGAGCACATGCGCCGGCAGGGACCTCCTTGATACGGGGTTGAGAGTAGGCTTCTGTTGATCGATGAGATGCATCAGGAACCCTTGCAGCGAGGGAAGGGAGAAAGCAAGCATGCTCTCCCATGACGAAGGCGGGGAGAGAACGTCTTCCTCGTCCGAGTCTGAGTCCCACATCATCATATCCTCGTCGCCATCCAATTCGTCCTCTTCGTCATCCTCCCCCCAGCCTCCCAGACCCCAGGTCATCAGGCATTTCCGCCGCTCCTCGAGCCACTCCTTCTTCTCCTCTGAACGGCGTCTTTCGGCCTCCCGCTGCTCGCGTTTCATCCGCTCTTTCATCGCTCCCACGCCCATAGCATCTTCTAACATGAGTATGATGCCTTCCCGCCCGGGTAAGGGGGTGTGAGCGGAGATGACGTCTAATGGTGTCAGGCCATTGCGGTTTGTGCGTGCGTTTAGGAGATCTTCTGTGCGCAGACCATGGGATGTGCAGTGTTGAAGCATGTAAGTGATGAGCGTTGGGGGTGCCATCAATGCAGCATAATGAAACGGTGTCCATCCAGCTACAAAGTGGTTGAATAAATGGAACGAAACAAGCAGTTGATGGACAACATACCGTTGTCACCCTTCTCGATGCTCGCCCCAGCAACGAGCAGCATCCTACAACATTCCTCTCTGTCCATCTCCCTCTCCGCATCCTCCGTCCCAAACCCCATCATAGCGATCGTCAGAACCCCTCTTCCATCTTCATCCGCTATAGTCAGGTCCAGCGAAGGCTTGGCAGTCGGGTCATTAAGGAGGAATATGAGCAGTGCGATGTCTGCGAACAGCAGGGCATGCCGGAGTGCGTGGCTGGCAAGTGCTCGTTTCTGAGAGACGCTGAGGTGATCGGGATCACCAAGAAGCGGTAATAAGTCCACAGGCTTGGGCTGCAAAGGTGCGAGATCAGGCTCGAATCTCAAGGACGACACGGATGGCGAGACGGAAATGATGGAAGATACAGACATGGTTGGGATGCTGCTCCTACAGTGCTGATGGCGACAGGTACGTAAGGAAGGTCGGTGTCCGTTTGCGGTATTATGTTGCTCGTCGTCGACAGGGTATTATGCGAGATGGATAACTAGGATGAGCATAGAGCGCTGTATATACGTCGTGATGGCGGTGGTATCTCAGGATGGTGAAGGGGCAGACACGCATAGGGGACGCGTCGACAAAGTCCCCATCTGTGAAGAGCTCATCGCATTCGGCTGAATGCCACAAGCTATTCAACAAAATTCACTTTATCACACTGCTGCTAAACACCGGTAGATAGTATTGTAATAAACATTGGATATTGCCTGAGATAGGTATACCGCAGATCCGAGCAACACTTCCCTTCCTCCGCACTGCAGAATGCGGTGTAGGATATTCCTCTCTCGGACTGCGGGGTCGTTTCCAGAAAGGCAACTTGACATAAGACATATCCAAAATAGACCAAAAAAAGGGAAAGGCAGTGTGACTAGTTGTATATCTTTGTACTGGGCGATGACTGTTCGCTGTCTGGGACCATGTGTTGAGTGCGTGGGTGCTGCGGTGTGCTCGGCTCGCCTTGAGGTGAACGTCATACATGGACAGATAAATTAATTTTATTTGTCCGATAAATAGACAAAGGAGAATGATGGTCAAGAAATAACAGATGGCGCGAAGTGGCATTGTTGCAGAAGAAATAGAGCCCAAAGTGTTCACAGCCAGAATCCACGCTTTCGCCATAAAAGCTCTGACGCAAAAAAGAATGGATCTAATGACTTCTGCTCGCGGCTCCGAGCTGTCCTCCCATCCGCAGAGGGTGGCAAATCCACTGCGCTAAGGGGGCACACTACCCCTTTCTCAATTCGCTCTTTTAAGTACTCCTCAAATAACTTCTCAGTAAGAAATGGATCTCTTAACTTATTGGTCGCGGTGTCGATCTGCTACTTTCCCATCCGTGAGATTGGCAACCTTGCGGAAGGGCGCACGCTTTTGCCCCGTCGTTCGAGGGTGTCATCCACGTCCAGTTGATATTGCACATTGTTCTTTGGTAACGGACAATGTCAGTCGCGTCGGGGCATGACTGCACGTGAGGCTGGACGCGTCCAAGAAATTGGGGGGGAAATGAAGCAGGAAAATATTGATGAGTACTAGTGTTGAAGAGGCACGAGATTAGGAGCGGTAGATGACACCTGCGTCCCATAGTCTGGTGTCTGCATTTCCCCTCGCCTGATTTCGCTGGATTCCGAAAGCAGTTGGCATGTCGAGCCTATATATGTCTCAAGAGATCAGGCCGCTCGCCGGGTACACTCTGCATAAGTACCGTCCACATCCTAGATCTACTTTTCAACCTGCTCCACCTCAACCGAAGTTATTGCGTGTTTAGTGCCAGTAAACCTGTTCACATCGCAGACGATATAGTAACAACAATTTTATTCGGCTTTCAAATTTCAATCCAGATCACACCAGTCATAGCTCAAATTACAGCACCACCGGCTCGACCGTAACGTTCATATCCTCATCCACCATCACCGCCATATTCTTGCCGATTAATTTCCAGTCCTGCTGCCTATACGTGGTCGGCTCGCTAGCGACGATCACATGCTTCCCATGCTCTTCCGTCTTCCTCCCCGCAGGGATCCCGTTCTCGACATCGGCATTCAAGAGCGCTGCTTCGCCGTTCGGATGATCAGGGTATTTTCGGTTCAAGGTTGCGCCGGCTTGGGTGGAGTAGTACAGACTGGGAGGCTGCTCGACCTCGTGGTTCCTGAAGCGGACAGCGACGAGCTGGTCCCCATCCGTCGTGCACAGGTTGAGCGAATTTGCTTGCGCCTTCTCAGGGCCGAGCTGTTTCTGCAGGAGGAGGACAGTGCCGATCGCCCGATCCAGCGCGCGTTTCATCTCCTGCAGAGGGTACTTGCGCTCCCAGTCCTCGCCCAGGTAGGTCATGTACAGCGCAGCGACATGCTCGCTGTCCGTACTTCCCTGCACTGCGGCGTGCGCCTTGGGGCTCATGAGAGCAGTCATCTCCCGACGTATATCGGTGAAATTTGCAACTGTGCCGTTATGCATGAAAAGATGGCGCCCGAACGCAAAAGGGTGGTTGTTGTACATGTGTACCGCGCTCGTCGCCATCCTGATATGGGCGAGGACGCAGAGCGCAGAGGTGTTCGCGCAAAGAGACTGGAAGTTCGCGTCGTTCCCAGGAGGTTGGATCGTCTTGTATATCATTGGTCTCGCGCCTTCAGCTTCGCCGTATTCGTCCCTGACCCAGGAGTAGAAGCCAACACCAGTACCATCGGTGTTGTGGAGGATGTTGCGGAGCTTGATCTCGGCTTGCTCTTGTTTTTGCGTTTCGCCGGGCATGTGGTGGAAGAGGTGAGGGAGGTAGTGATCGTTCACCTGCTTTGTGAGAGCGTGCTGGGGACGTATGAGGATGTCTTCCAGCAACTGGGAAGGGTCAGTTGGGACCGGGAGGGAGAAGGAGGACGTACGCAAGGCTCTGTGTTGCTAATGTAGGCGAACCAGCGGCACATTGTGTATGTTCAAGATGATGTGAGGGGGTAGAGTGGGATGCTAGCTGTCAGGATATTGAAGGTTATTTATATGACCTGAGTATTGGTTAGCGGTGATGGGTGCCGTCAACCTGAAGCTTACCGATCTATAAATTGAGGCAATGTCCCCCCTCCAGCAAACATGTTTCAGGCGCCATTTATAGTGCTCGAAGCTATGTGGGGTGCGACCGGTTGGTTACTGACCCTCTTCGGTCGTATGGCCGAGTTCACACGAGCAAGGAGGAGTAACGGTCCAATTACTTGTGACCTCATAGAAATAGACCCTCTAAGGACCCCAGAACACCACTCACGGGGTCCACACACGCGCTTTTCCTCCGCCACTCCGCGTACCTTGCCACCCGGTGTTGAATACGCACTCGACCCTCATCACTTTCTGGGACTCGCTGTCGAGCAAGGCAAATGGCCTCTGTGTTCACTAGCTCAGTCCTGTCGGTACCTAACCAACGCCCTGTTCCCAAGACGATACCCAGTCAGGGCGAGTCGAGCGCTCTGCGTGCTGTGGAAGGTACAAGGCAGACAGTCAACAGCGCGCTCGCAAAGGATGTGCAGGACACGCAGGCTGATTTGTATTCAGTGTTAAGTAGTGAGTGAGATCCGTATAAAGGGAAGGCGGTGCTTATGCGGTATAGATGCGCCCGCGGAGTATACGACGCTGAGGAACGAGTCCTGGCTCCCATATTTTGTTAAACACGAAATCAGGCCGCCACCGGATATAGACGCTGGTTTCCGTGCGCAGCTTTCTTTTTGCGTTAGCTTATCACTTACCCGGTTATAGAGGATGGTGTCTCCTACCGGATGGGGCTATTACCCCAGATGAACCTTGCGTGGTGGGCAAGTGGCAGCAGAGTCGTATTATGGGACTACTTGTTACCGTTTGTCTCGCTCCATGTTATCGAGGCATGCTGTTCACTCTATTCAGAGCGCCTAACAACTTAACCGTACTGGCCGATATGGAATATCCAGTCACCTCTGTTGCCCTCGTAAAACCCCGACGAAGTGCGTTTCCCGTACCGCTATGAGTATCCTCTGACTGTCTGTCACCCCAGATGTTTACCAAGCCACTGTCTCCTGGGTCCTCCTGGTCGTAACCTCCGCACGTATCATCTTCCACGCACTTCATCAATCCACTCTCCCGTCCAACCTCACTAGTGGCGCTCAATCCCAGCCCTGGGAGATCTACGACAGCGATCTATCCGTCGACACCACCTCTTACGGGGAGATGACAAGCGTGTGCGGAACAGACGACGGGAGGATCTTCATGTGCGGTGCGAGGGACGGGTGTGTGTACGAGCTGGTGTATAGGAGGACAGAGAGCTGGGGGGTCATACCTTTCGTTACGCGAGGAGCGAGGTATGAGCTCTTGAATCGAAGCGTGCCTATGGGAACGTCGCTTTATCCCGCGTTCCTGCTAGGAGGCCCGAAGCACGGTTCGTGCCGTCCATCATTCTAGTAGACATACTGACCCCGTGGAGCAGACCTCGTCCGCCTGCTTGCTGTGGACCCAAAGCGGAACGTCTTATATGCGCTCACAAACCAAGAAGACATCTCCGTCTACTATCTCGGCACGCCCACCCCCGCGAATCAGGAAGCAAGCCTGCACTTCAGCGCGCCCTTCACAGCCAAGAACATTTATACCACCGCACTGACGCAGTCCCCCTCCAACCCCGGGCTGCCCAATAAGCAATCCTTCCATATCGCCTCTCTTGTACCTACTCTGCCTCAGGAAAGCAAGTACATCCACCTGATCGCCGTAACCACCGCTGGGCTGCGTCTGTACTTCACCTTCTTCCGCCGGAACTTGTATGTCATCAGCAGCCCGCCTTACCCGACGCCAAACGGTGCACCCGCAGCCCTGGACCTTATGTTCATCCGCTCTCCACCTGCAATACCATATGACGCTGTTGTCCCGCGCACAGACCCGACATGGTACGGCCGTCAAAGACCAACGCAGCCACAACAACCCCAAGGGTACACATTCTCCTTCAATCAAGTGAACAGCGCTACTCTCTGTTCCTCCGACTTCCTGATCGGTCAAGCGCTGCCCAAAACAGGCGCATCAGCCTTCTCCAAAGCCGTTGTTCTCGCCTGCTCGCCCGATCTTGGCCGGCTCTTCAGGTACAATGCTGACCCTAACCCGATGTCTGGCGGTTCGGGGCTGTACAGTACTCTCTCACCCGCTCAGCGCCCACCTCTCACAGAATCGTGGACCGTCCTCCCGCTCGACGGGCTCACGCACGGTATTGCCCCCCTGTCTACGCCCGCATTCATCCTCTACGCTCCAGACAGCGCCAGCGTAACCAGCGAGATGCTGAGCATGTTCACCGCCCCTGCACAGCAGTATGTCGTGCTCACCACCGCGGCGGCGTATGTGCTCCAGCACCGAAGACCGGTGGACGTCCTTCGCGCTCTGGTAGAACGATCCAGCCGGTCGGGGAGCGAAGATGATGTTCAGCAATTCCATGATGTTTTTGGAAAAGACCAGAGCTGCGCCATGGCCCTTGCTCTAGCTTGCGGGAACACGCTCACCCTCCGGGACTGGACGCCGCCTAACGTGCCTACTAATGCGGGGCAAGTGAGCACCTTGAGCAGGTACTCCATGTCCTTCGAGCCGCAGATGCAGGGGCAGGGCGTGGAGCTCCTTGCTGGGAGGCTGTTCCAGCGATGGGGCGGACATCCGATTAGGCTCAGGATGGGGACCACACAGGATGAGGGGACGATGTTGTTTAGCGGGAAGTACCAGGGGTTGACCATCTATGTTAGTAGGCTGATGAGGCCGCTTTGGAAAGAGAAAGTTGCTGCTGTGTGAGTCTTTTTATGCTCATGAGTCAGAATGGCGCTGATAAGCGTTGTGGGAACAGCGTTGCAGGCAAATTCCAGACAAATGTGACGATGAGCACGCTCTCCCAAGTTCAGACAGAACTGACAAACCTCAACCTCTTCATGGACCGCGAGATGGGCTTATTCGAGATCTTTACTTCCGACGGGCCGGCAGACGATGTCGCCCGTGAACGAGAGCTCGCGGCGTGCAGATCGCTCAAAGCGTTGGTTTCTCGCACTATTGAGGCTATCGCCTTCGTCATGCTCATGATCGACTTTGGGCTACATGATGTTATGCTCCAATGTGATCAGCGAGTGCGCGATTTGCTCCCCAAGATGAGCTACGAGGAGCTGCTGGTTACGGAACAGGGGACGGAAGCGGCTCGCGCGCTGGTCAATGCGATTATCAATCATCAGATCTCCCAGCAACGGAGTGTGGATGCGGTCAGCGACGTGCTCCACAAAAAGTGCGGATCGTTCTGCAGCCCAGAGCAGGTCGTCGTATACAAGGTATGTCGGCTGAGTGGTCCGAGTGTTAGAAACTGACAAGTTCTCGAGGGCTATGAAAGCATTCGCCTAGCACGGCAAGAGCTTACGGCTCAACGCATCACCCACCTGCAAGAGTCCCTGCGGCTGTTCTCCCAGGCGGCTCGTGCACTCACACCAGAGAAGCTTACCGAATACTGCAAAGAATACTGCGACCTCGGATTCCCTCAGGGTGCGATCGGACTTCCTCTTGTCTGTGCGAGAGAATGGGATGCCTTCTCGGAAGGCGCCGCTTACTTCGCAGCTGGCAAGCCGCAGAATGATCCCCGCTCGTATCGCTATGCACAGAGGGAAGCGGCATATAAATGCGCTTTGGACAGCCTGAAGATGTTCGACGACCGGGTACAGCAGGCTGCTGACCCTGCGGTTGCAGATGCGGACCGGCTTCGCAATGCTGCTTATGCGCTTGCGCTCCAGTCGGAGGACGAGATCTTCCACTATAGCTTGTATCAGTGGTTTGTAGATAATGGGCAGGAGACGCGATTGCTCGAGGTGCGTTTTAACCTGTGGTTCGCCTCACATCTCGCTAAACTTGTCCTTAGTTGCACACACCTTTCATCGAAATTTTCCTCACGCAACCTCCACCTCTGCTATGGAAGCACGAGCTCTTATGGCAATTCTACGTCCGCAACAACCGATCCACCGAAGCCGCATATATCCTCAACGAGATGGCTTACAGCACAGAGTAAGTCCATGCGGGATGGTATGAAAGCACAGCTGACTTTGCCCCAAGTGACTCCCTCACCCTGGAGCAGCGGATATCGTATCTCTCTCGAGCGGTGAGCAATGCCAAGTCGTTGTCTGCCCCGGCACCCGTAGGAGATCAAAGCCCCGTCGAATTCCTGACGGATCTTGAAGAACGGCTGGAAGTCGCTCAGTTGCAAGCTGAGACCTACTCTCGATTGCAACAACAGCTCGGGAGAGACACGGCTTCTCTCGATGCCCTGAAGAAGCTAGGGTCTCAGCTATGGACCATTACCGATCTATGGCAGCAATTTGCAATGCCATACGATATGGACTTCATCAAGCTTCTCATTCTTCATGTTTCAAACCATTCCGATCTTAATCTTGTTATGGGAACATGGCGGAGGATCTTTGAGACAGGTAATATATTACAGCTGAACCTGCGAGTTTGAAACTGATAACGCCCTTGCAGCGAAAGAGACTGCTGCATCTCAGGGCAGAGCGGCCCACGATTATATTGCCGATTCCGTTGTGCGGTATGGCCAGCGACTATACCCGTCTAATGTTGCATTCCCCTTGGATCTGCTACTTGATGAACTGCTACGATACCAATACGAAAACAAGGATACCGCCTCGATTCCATCGGCATGGGCATGCAAAATGTTCGTCGATGTCCAAGTCGACTGGCGAACGCTATTTGACCTCCTCGAGGCTATCTATGCCGATCACGTACGTTGCCTTTTATGTTCTCTCGGCGTCCTTCTGACCATGAACCTCAGTCTTCCCCGCCATGGAGCACGCCAGAAGGACAAGAATTCCTGCGCCTTGAGATTGCTGAATATCTATCGCTTTGGTTCATAAAAGAGTCCAGCCCTGGTGCATTACAATCATCAACAGAATTCCCGGTGTCCTTCGTGGACCAGAAGGTTGGAGAGTACATGAACGTGCAGACTTCAGAGCTGGGTCGCAAGATCCTGTTGGAGCTGAGCAAGGCTCTCAGACGTATCTACTGATGCACAATGACCACATATTACACTAATTGCATAATGTAATCCAAGCAACCAGGATATGAGTGCGTATGAGTAAATTACAATGGAAGAGCCCCAACCCGCCCCGGATACAGTATTGAGCCTTCACGCATCTCCTCTAATCATAGCCAAGAAGCCTTCCTTTGACAAATCAACTGAATTCAAGGTGAGCATAAAATCAAACTTGTTAAACTTGTTAAAGGTCTTGCTCACCTTCCTTGGCCCTCCCAACAATATTATCGGCGCCCTGCTTCTTCTTCTTGCCCTGATTGACAAATCCATCCACACTTGGTGCAGGCAACCTAGGCTGGCCGCTACCTTTTTGTGCCTCTTTCGCCTCTTGTTGAGCAGCTGAGAGATTTTGGCTCGCCTGGATAGCATTGAACAGCTTGACAACACCCCGCTGGGCGACCTTTCTGAGCGCACGCTCGCCTTCGTTCCCCCAGCCGCCGATGACGTCCGTGACATGCCCAATTGCTTCCTTTTCTTTTCTCTGCCCTTTGAGAATCTCTCTTGCACGTTTCTCTAGTTTTTCTTCCTTCATGGCATGTTTCACTGAAGGCTTTAGAGTGAGAAGGTCCGCACTTCCTGTCGGAGCAGGTGCCTCAAGCAACGATGACAGGGCGACACCAAATGTTGACGGAGATGTTGCTCGCAACTTCCGCTCTGCATATTCATTAGGAAACATAATTAAAATTGATTGAACGACAACATACTCTTCGTTTTCTTACTCTTCGCTGCTTTTGCCCTATCAATCTCCTCCTCCGTTCCCTCACCCTCACTGTCCGAGCCTGACGCTTCGGGCTGTGACCCGCTCTCGTCTCCCTCTTCCCCTTCGCTCATCTGAATATTCTCTTTCTCCTCTACTTCCGTCACTTCCTCTCCTTTCGCCTTGCGTTTCGCAGGAACAGCTCTGGAGGGTGCCATACTTGATGAAGAATGGGGTGAAGGTAGTGAGCGGTAGGCGCTGAAAAGGTGCAAACCCTAGGACGGAAGCACATTTTCGGCTGTCTACTTTCAGTACGTTTGTGTGACTCTTGCGACCGTCACTCACTTCAACTCATCAACATACATACATACAAACACTTTTCTATCATATCTGCTACTGTGAGGCGTCTTCTTTTAAGGCGGCGATATGCGCCGTCTGGCGGCGTCCACACTCCTGCACTGCAATGATACCACCACGGTGATGCCGCTGCTCACATTCCTCTACCCTTCTGGCGCACTGAGGTTGCTTTCTACGGGCAGGGGTGTCTGGGTGCGCATGATTATATGTTTACCGTTAACTTCAACTTATGTTGATGTCAGAATGAATCTTCGTTTCGTAAGAAGGGGAAATCTAACTATCAACCCTCGACTTCTTCCTTAAGTTCCACAGCATCTACCCCTGCTGAATTCAGGTCCAACCAACAGACCGTTCTTCCACCCCAAAGAAATGTGGCCCGACCATGGGAAAGAATGAAGCTGGATAGATTCGGGGTGATGGTCGAAGAGAGGCATGATATGCTGAACGATGACTTCGCGTGGACCCGAAGGAAACGAAAGAAAAATACGATGGGAGAATCGAGCGATATGTTTCTACCCTCACCTCCGAAACATTCGTATTCCTCTTCGACTCATCTCGGCATCCGGACCGACCTTCTCAGTCCGCGTCTAGAAACCCTACAAAGCATCATGGACAGTGCGCACCAACAAAAGCGCATACGATTTTCACAGCCAAGGCCAAAACCAGCTCCAATAGTGCCGCTCAAGGCTGAAGTCACCGTGGCATCTGTAATGATCGCTGCCAAATCCCTGTCTTCTCTAGACATAGACCCCCTTTTGTCTTTGTCTCCGGTTCAAACTTCTATGTGGAAACGCCTCAGGAAAACAGTCAACACCGTTATTCGCGAACGAAAGGCTGCCGGCATACCTTTGGGACCTATTCCGACTGATGCAGAGATTGACTACAAAGCTCTGCGTCTCATCATCCGTCAAAGCATGTCGCGGAGGAGCCTAGGTGTCGTGGCTTTGGAAAAGTATCTGCGGGAGCGACTACGGATCCTACGACAGGAACGAGTAAAGCAGATGCTGGAAGAAGCACAAACGAAAGTGAAAGAGCAGGCAGGGATCATGGGGCCAGCTGTGCCGGTTTCCCCCCTTGACGCAGCATCTATGGAACCACCTGCCTCTGGACCGTCCATGCCGTCAAGTGCGTATTTTATCAATCATCCGCCGGCTCACACTCAATGTTCATAGCCCCCACACGATCCCGCGTTGGGATAGGCACGTCCTACAAGTGGAAACGATTCTTCCGTTTGTTTGGTAGAGGACGTCAGCTGCATACGCTGTCGCGAGCCTTGGAAGATGATCGAGTTGCTCGTTTTTCCCCCCGAACGAACAAGTTTCGTAAAAGTGTTCATTCTGTCACTTCTCGCCGAAGAACTGCTTTCACGATTGCTTTCGGCAGTCCACAACATAAAGCTGTCCAATTTCCCCCTTCATCTCTGTTCAATCGACCCAGCACCTGTCAAGCAGCCTTCAGACAATTGCTGGAATTTTCCAAACCCTACCGACGCCCAAGTGTGAAGGCCGTCGTCGAATTTCACAGGTCGTTAGGCGCAGTTCGATCGACAACTTCGTTTAACTACGTCATCTCTGTCTGTATCCGCGAACGATTCTTCTCCGAAGCCCAGAAGAGCTTTTTTGAAATGCGAAGTTGCCATATCCCATGGGATAGTGCCACTTGGGTGGAGTTTGTTCGGCTCAATGTCGCGACGAAGAAATGGGACACGATAGAGACGATATTAGCCAGTCAGGTGGCTGATTTCGACACGATGCTCACGCTTCTCCCTGGTCAAGTGATCCATCGTCCACGAAATCCAGTAGCAACGACCAAAGATACTGAAGAGAAACTCCGGTTGCTTAGTAACGCAAATGTTTTGGTCACCCATGAGCAGGCTCTCTGTCTTCCTTACCCCGCGAGGTACAAAATTATACGATCGCTGCTGGTCACTAATCCAGATGCGGCCCTCGAAATGACTAAATCCTCCATACGGAAATTGCCTACTGCGCCAAGCCAGGTGCAACTGGGGCAGGCTCTGGGACTGATCCACTTGCATCTTCGAGCGCCCAGCAAGCCGTCTGGAGTCGTCCAATATTGGGACGCCTGGAAACGCCTGGAATCCTTGCTTGAGCTGAACCAGAACATCCGCCCGACTCCATTTACCATTTACCTGCTCCTCAAATACATTCGTGGCGTGCGGAATCGCAACCGGATGGCGCGAAAAGCGGTCAGCGCCTACAAGAAACGCTGGGGTGAAAGCGTCGAGGATTATTGGACACTTCTGGTTCAAGCACGCTACGCGATGCATGACAAAGACGACAATGGCGCTTTCGATCTGTTGCAGAAAGCACTGAAGCTGCTTCAGGAACACGAACGCAGAGGAGTGGCGGGCAACCCAGCTACAAGTCGTTTTGTAATGAAGCGCTATAATCACGGATGGAGTCGATTCTACGATCTGATGAGGAGATGGAAGTTCAGGCGTGAGAGGATGAAGATGCGAGCAGACAATGGGGATAAGGGGAAGAAAAACGCAGTGGAGTCGCAGGCCCTGGAAGAGGTACCAAGCGTTGTTTCTGTCAAAATGAGCCTCGCTTTGCCGACACTGGAACAGACCTCGATATGCCCGACGTATCCCGTTCTTGTGCGCGCTCGGTGTTGAGGAGCCGTCGACGATGGTATCTGTATAATCATAATGATTCTGGATGGCATTGGGGGCACTGAATCAGCTGCTTTGTGGTGCTGAGAGGGAAATCAAGCTCCTTAAATGCTAGATGTTACTAGGCGGCATGTAACAGAGTAAGCCGGCAGCAGTACGACGGTACGAACAGCCACGCGTCGGAAGAGCAAGCGTTATGAAACATCGTCTACCGGTACCTCCAAGGGGGAGATACCGTTGTTATTGTATGTACCGAAAGTACCTCCATCGTCATTCTGTGAACAGTGAGACACGAGACAGAAACGACGACACAGGAGTACGAACCATGTGTAGGAAAGGATGCCGTCAAGTAGTGACTCATTCTGTCCTCTGTTTTGTGTACCACCCACGTGACGTTCAGGTCATTCGTCTGTGTATACTCAGATGCAGTGTGTAGCTGTTCTCTCAGACTACCACCACTAGCCATTACACACACTGCACAATGATGCATCCTCTCCCGCCTGTCAGCCAGGATATCGCTTCCTGGGAGCAGTGGCAAGTGAAGACCGAGACCGTGCCTACCCCTGTCTTCATATGGACTCGCTCCGCTCGTGGCATTTTGGAGTACGAGTCGCAACGCACCAAATGAACGGCCCTCACGAAAGGTATCTACGACTGGAATGCACGTCGTACAGGCGAATGGGATTTTGTCCATGGGGGTATAGATGTACTGCTCGAGCAGCTCCATCTTCTGTTGAGGCAAGATGATCTGCTCAGGTAAGCCCAATTCATTGTCAGGTTCAGACGTGTTCCTGACCGGTTTTGTTGACAGCCAAGCACGCGCCTATTGGGGCATTTGCAATATTGCTGAGCTGTTGTTGAACTTCCATCTACACTCCGGCCACCTCACCGAAGTGACGAATATCATCGCTTCACAGTGAGCTTGAATTGGGACGCCTGTGATGTACATATCTGACTGCTGCCCAGCATCCATCCAGATGACTTCCTCCTCCCAGGGATACCCCACACGCCTGGGAACAGACCTGTAAGCCCCATCTTGGAAGATCATGATGATCTTCAATGGGAAATATGAGGCCTTGGTATTCTCGCTGTATCTGTGCTGGGTTCAAGTAACATTGCTGTATCCGCTCGTAATGGCCAGTATTTCCTCTGTATTGGCCTAACCCACATGTGTCTAAACCTTGCTAAGCTCCTCAGTAAATGTGATACAACAGAAGTTTTGATGTCGAGTCTCTCCGTGCATGCAGGACAGCTCGCACGACTGCGAGAACGCCAATTCATCCACCATTGACCGTAAAATACAGGTCGGGTCCTCAGGCCACCTCAAAACTGCGTTATTCCTCTGCGCCATAATAGCAAAGCTCTAAGTCCCGCGGAACCACTTGAAGTCCTTATCCAGATACCACGTCCTCAGAATATCCTTGAACCCCAGCTCCTTCACGGGTTGCATTCCCTGTTCCCTCGCTTCGATCAGCAAACGGAGATGTGCCATCTCGATACGGATCTCGAATTGTGCCAGCAACCTGAGCTTTGGCAATACACGGAAGCCGGCGGCTCCCTCGTTTGGTTGGGCGAGGCAGCGGAAGAGCTCACGAAAGCTATGATTCACCATTGGCTTTGTTCTCCGAAACAATCCAAGCTCCTCGATCGTCGGCAGAGAGGAAACAAGAGCGATTATGTCCGCTACTTCAATGTTCGAGGTTTCCACGCAGAGGTCGATCAGTGTTGTCCCCTGAAATGAGCGGCATATTGGCTGCTCCAACAGCCGGTACCCTTCGGGGTCTCCAGGCATCAGGAGCAATCGTTTTAGCTTTGGCAGCTCGTTGAAGTACAGTACTTCCTCCGCGTTCGCCAGCGGTAGGTTCATTAGCTCCAGTTCTTCCAGCTCGGGGAACTTGGCCCTCCGCCCGTTGTCGGGTGATATCTTCAGTGGGTGCCAAGACCACATAATCGTACGCATCCGGAGACGACGAAGGGCTGGTGCATACAAGGAAAAAGAGATGACATCGGCGAACACGTTGAGCCTGGCTGGGCCGAGGGTGGCGTATATCAGCGCGGGTAGCTTGTGGACACCAGGGGAGGGGAGAGGTCGAGGTATCGTGCCTTGGATATGGTGTAAATCAATCGCACGAGATCCGTACATGTTGAATTCGCGCCGTGAGGTCATACCTAGGTACTCCAACCGGCCTTCGAGGCCTCGACGAAAATTAACATCGCACACGAAATTAACAAACGAGGCTATAGTGCAGACGACGTGCAACGGCACAGAACCAGTCCGCCTCAGCCTAAAATCGCACGCTGGTCCGAAGGTGTGAAGTGTTCGCCAGATGCGATGAGTTCGGCTTGCCACGCGATACCATTTTTGACAAACGCAAGATACTGAACACTGGAAGGCGTACAGGACGGGAAGACATGCTGGGTGCTGCTCGTAGTGCTCGGCGACATGCTCGAAGACTGCCGACAGCAACTCGTCTGGAAGACGCGAGATTGGACTGGGACCTGTTTGATCATCAGAAATGTGTCTTTGTGCTGCTTGAACCATCTCAAGTCGTGCGAAATATGGCGCACCGGGAATAAGATCAGAGGTCTCTCGTGCAGCGTCTGATGCGCCCTCTCGGTCAAACTTAACAACCACCGGTATGACTCCTGGAGCGGTTGGTTCAATGCTTCTTCTAGTAACTGAACGCATGATTTATAGAGAGCAAAAGAGCGAGCTCGCGAAAGATGAAGAAATACAGGGTGGAGGGGAGAGTGACGCTCGCCGCGCCGTCAAATAATATCTGTCGTGCTTTGCCCACTAATCCATCACATAACTTAGTATGAGTACTGCGATCCCAAACAGAATTGATACACGGAGGTGAGTACATCAATGAAAGGAATGATTTATAATATAATTGAGGCAATATCAGTTCCTGTGCGAACATTAATCATTACGTCCGTGTCTGTCGTGGTGGATCATCAAGAATAGTCAGAAGTCCATGGTATTGCTGCAAATCGTATGCTTCTGCGCGGGCAACACCTGCTTCTCCATCATCGGGAAGCCAAATAATCGGTACGGGTGCCAATAATTCCGGGGAATAAAGCAAACCAGCAGTCTCTTCCGCTGGGTCTTCGAAGATTTTCTCGCCTGGCTCGTTGTCGGGAACCTCTGTCGCGTTTGGGTGCGTGTGGGCAGCCCTAACTGTGGATACAAGATCGTCGATATGCTCTGTTGCCAGGGGTATTTCCTGTGAACGACGGCTGGACGGCATGACTGGCAGAGTAACTGCCATCATGTCGAGAATAGAGGCAATGGAACCACGTCTGGGCCGAGCCACCTCAGGAAGAACGGAGCTCTGCGGTGCACAAACCGGAACGAGGTGTACTTCTTCACTTGCCTCTCGGCGATCAGATATGGCAGTATGAAACGAAGCAAGCGCCCGGAGAGATTCCTGGTCGAGATCGTCCGTGCGGTCAATCTTCCACTCATTACACACCGTGTGGAACTCGACGAGAAGAACCAATCCAAGACCTACTCCGATCAAAACTGCGCCAATTGCCCATTCTTGGCGGCTAAATAGGAGAAGACCAAGCAGGACGGGTTGCAGTCCCAACAGATTCATGAATCGGCGGAGCATCCACATCTGTAATAAGCCACCGGTTTGTCCACCTCGTTGGTATACGTAGCCAATGAGGAAGCGATGTGCGACGCAGGAAAGCAGGAGTAGAAGTACGATAGCGGGACCGATTAGAGGAAAGAGAAGCGTAAACGTAGCGGCGATTATTATGCCAACAACGCAAAAGCTTGTGGCGTGGGCGTAATTGTAAAAGTGGGGGTACATTGCTGACTTATTGTCAGCCTCCACCTCCAAAGTAACAAGAATAATACGCACCACGAAACCGCTGTCGAGGTGTGACTGCCTTCCTTTCTCCTCTCCTCACTTTCCAGAGTCTCGGGATGTTTATGAGCAGCAACGCAGGGGCAATACACGCGAGATTAAGGATGATAGTGAGTGCCAGCACTGCAATGTAGATAGATCCATCAGCCACGGATCCGGCCTGATTCCAGGCCAGTTTGAATGCTTCGAGTCCGAGCAAGAGTGCCGATACTGTAACGAGCCAAATTCCGGCAATGATGGTGAGGATAAAGAAGGTAGCCCGGAATGTAATGAATTGGGTGCCGAAAGAGGACGGGGAGCCGCTGAAGCGAGATAAGACTGTTCTAGCGTCAGCTCCAAGGAAAGCAAACATGCATGGTGACTGACACGTTACCACTGCCACGGCTATGAAGACGAACAGCGTAGCGGCCAGTGCGGGTGCGAGTGTGATGGCAAGTGCTGGACCTAACGAATCTGCCGTTAGGTCGTTCAGGAAAGGCAAGTTGTGTGCGAAGTCAGGCGCATCGCTTAATGCGAGACCCGACACAGGAACAACTTGCACAGAGATAAGAAATGAGACACTCGCAATGAAGGAAAGAACTGACTGGTGACGCCGAGCAGAAACGCAACCGTGATGACAGCTGTCCAGTAAGCAACTCGTCGACCTATTCCTGTACCCTTGGCCTGCAGCTCGTCCCATCGCACATCCTCCTTGCTCCTCCCTTCAATCATCTGTACACCATGCAACCATCTGATTCCCCTTCCCAACAGGATCCACCCTTTGACACTCTGGCCCTTTGCGATGTCCTTGAATGCCTCCCCCTGCGCCTCCTCGATCTGTGTATTGAGTCGCTTCAGCTCCGAACGGGCACTCTTGATATCGGCGTAGATGCCGGCCAGATTTGCATGAGGGAGGATCCACAGGTGAGGCTGATGGGCATATTCGGGGAGGGGAGCATCTTCGACGCCCTCGGCCCCTAAAGAGAGGTGTTGCGTGTAGTCCTCTGGCTTAGCTATGATGGGTACCAGGAGCGCCTTCTCCTCCATCCTACTCGTGCCTGCTTGACGTGGGTGGAACGTGCTACCCCTAGCACCTTGAGCGCTCGTCACCGCCTGGTCGGTCCTGCTGCTGTTCCTCTGATGGCCAAGTTGTGGAAAACGGCGTCTTATACGCGAGAATAGGCCCGTAGCAGGTGTATCTGGTGTACCACCGCGAAGCACAATGGGATGGCGCTGTGTGCTGCTCTCTGCGTTCTGCGGCTTCCTTTCCCCTTCACCCTCTTCTTCCTCCGCCACGGCCTGCATACCATTTCCTCGGTCCTCCCATGGTTCCTGTCCGTTTTGCCCGCTGGGGTAATTCGGCCCCTTGCTAGTGTCCACTTCCACAGCCTCGAGACTCGGAGTGACAGCCCTGAGCTGTCCTTTGTCTCCTATACGTATCTTTTCTCCAATGGCGAAAGGCCCAGGCCCATGATGGGCTAACAGCTCACGGAACCTGCTTCCTGTAACTTGGCGGTTCAAGTTCCACTCCTCGTCAGGGGAGCTCGAGGTGGGCGAATGTGGAGCCGATGTGATCTTGTAGAAGGCAGAGGGCGCGAGGAAGTCCGAAGGCGGAGAGGGAGAGATGAGCTGGGCTCTTGGCTCTTGCACGACTTCTGAGCTTGGGCGTGTGGAAACATGACTGCGCACGGATTGGCGCTTGCTCAGCCTTCTCCTCGGGGGAGCCCCGACCAACGCGCCCCTCTCAGCATCCTGAGGTGTCGTTGAGCGACGTATTGGAGCAGGCGCCTCCTCGAGCCGAAAAGAATATATGTATCGCGTCTCTGCCTCTTCCAGTTGCCTGAGCACATGATCTCTTTGCTTGATAAGCCCACGCAGGTGCGCAGTGTCGACAACGGTGAACACGCCGGAGACGTCGACCTTTTTCTGTGGCCTGTCTCCTTGCGCTATGCCCCTTTCAGCGGCGGTTGACTCTGCGACTCTCGCTCCAACCTCTGCAGTCGTTGGAACACCAGAATGCAGACCCCGCTTCCTTTCCTCCTCCCGTACTCCTGCCCTCTCCAGTGTCGCCTTGACCCTCCCCTCACCCAACCCTCTCAACCCAGGCGCTCTGCCCACTGCAAGCCAGCCCATCTCCAACCCTCCACACCTGACTTGCACGAATGCTTGTCTGAGACGAGTGAGCTTGCGATGTTCCCTGATCAAATGCCATAATGCGGGGAACACGGCGAGGACGAGGACTATAACGGCAAGGATAATGAGACGCGTGCGGACGTTGGAGGTCGTACTTCCAGGGATGTCGCGCGGTCGTAGAGTGTGCAGAGTACGAGACGAGAGAGACGAAGAGGGAGGATACTTCTCAGCACTCCCTGCCTCGTCCGCATCCAGCAACTCCAACAATCTCACCACGCTCAAATCCGTCAGCGTGCTCAGTCTCCCACCGTAGAAGCTCATCACCCCCGTCTCACCTAAGCAGGGCGTATTAACCGTATAGAGGGGGATGCATCCTGCTATCCCGAGGACGCTCCATCCGAGAACGATGCGCAAAGCAACGAAGAGGACGCGTTGGGCGAGCTGTTCGTCCGAGGGGAATGTGTCCGCCGTGGGGGTGTTGACAGCGCTACGCACGTCCGGGACGAGGGGTACGGGAGGGTTGAGAAAGGAGAAGAGAGAGTCTCGCAACGGTGGAGGTCGGGATGCTGTGGGAGGGAACCAGGAGCGTACGGCGTATATTTGGGGGAAATGGGGACGGATCAAAGCGAATGCACCCCAGAGAAGTAGGCCGAGCAGTGCGCAGAGGGCAAGCGAAGCAAGCACTCCGACAGTCGCATTGTCAACGCCTTGGCCCGCGCAGACAGGCACAGTGCCTGGGCCAGAGCTGTACGACCCGACGGCGCTGGGCGAAGAGCTGGCGGCGAGCAGGGAAAAGGAGGAGGTAGCGATAAGGGAAGTGCCACTAGTGAACGTATAAGGGACGTAGGTACCATTCCTTGGGGGTGTCGTAGAGGAATCAGAGGAGGGGAGCGGTGATTCGGTGAAGAAGGTGGTGGTGAGGGTACCGCTGATGAGCGTCGATACGGGCACTTCGGTGCTCTTGCCTAAACGTCCATCTGAAGTCCCAATATAAGCGCTAGTGGTAATGGTCGCAGTCGTCGATTGAAATGTTTCTTTCACCGCGTAGATTGAATATGTCCCATTTTCAGCAGGGTTAATTGTAGACAACAGTGTGCTTGTCACGATACCCCCATCAGAGAGTGTGACAACGTCAGGTGCGAGTCTTGCGGTTGCGATTGGATCTGAGCCAGAGAAAATCGTCGTGGTCGTCGGTTGAGCGCTCAAATATTCAACACCTGTGCTCTCCGAGTTCAGACCTGATACAGCTGCCTGAGATGACAGAGACGTATCAGCGGCTCTTTAAACACTGACAGAGCTAAGTTGGCTCACCACGCTTGCGATGCTGCTTAGACTCTGCACGGATAACGAGCTTGCATCAGTTGGCAGCAAGACAACTGTCCCGCTTGTTGTCCACCAATTCTGTACTCCAACGCCGCCTGCGGTTTGGTGGATCCGTGGTATTACGTGCACCTGTGACTGTCGGAACGAGGAGTATACTGCAGGATGGAGACTGTGTCTCGGGCTCGTTTCTTCGCATGTCTCGGTATCGTCATCATAGGATATGATATTATCAGGGTATCGCATGTCTGAGTCCATGTCCGGTTGGCGCAAACGCGCCTTCAAAATCGGTGTTCTTTCTTTATCTGAAGGTATGACTCAATAGCAGGACGGGTTGAATAAAGACGGAGTAGCAGCAAGACGAAGGGGGAGTATTGGGAGGGTACAGCGCCCTTGCAAGGCATCCTGCACTTCTCCACCTGCGTGCCTGCAATTTTGGAGCACATCTCATGTGGAAGCAGCAACGTGACAAAGGGGAAGAAAGGGTTGTGAGGATACGATGACCGCATCAGGGGATCAAGGGACGGAATAATGTATTGTAAGGAATCATGAGAATCAATTGTATTGGCGGAGCTAATTTTCGACTTCTTAGGAACACCCCACTGAAAGCGGATTTTCTCCGCTTCTCCGCACTCCCCGTGATTTGACAGGGCATATTATCGAAAGTGTTCATCATCTTCAAGTAAGCGGGGGCGGGCGAACAAAAATGACCCAATCTGCGAATTCTCAGAAGGGCAACGTTACTGTCTTGACGACAACCAAGGCGACCATCAGAATGCTAGTTTTTATACGGTTGTGGAAACCAGAGCCTTTGTACAACATCATCAAGCAGTCTGCACCTCCAAATTTTACACATAAACCAATGTAAGATGTCAAAACGAAATATCATTCATCGGATGCGTCCTGCGCACAAGCACTTCGTGTCTGGGTTACTGGGAAGCAGTGTTGTGGTTAACCAGTTCACCACCAATTGTGCTTGGAGAACGCGGCCATGCCGATCATGTTCACGCTGAGCGTAACGGGAGAGCCCGACAGGTCAAGCTGCTGCGTGACCTTAGCTTGTCCTGGGGCATCCAGACGGAGGACGCTGACGGCCGTAGCGTTCGCCTGGAGCACCATAAGGAACTCCTTGCCGTCGATGGTGGCGATCGCGTTATCGAGCGTGGCGGTCGTCCCTCCAAGAGGGTACTGAGCAACCAGGGTTGGCTTAAGTGACTTGTCCAGGGAAATCTCGCTGACGATGCCAGTGGCGGCATCGTCGATGAAGAAGTTGCCGGTAGTCTGGGAGAAGGCCGACCAGCAGGTCGCCACGGTGTTGTTGATCTTGGTAACTGCGGCGTTGACACCAGAGAAGGAGGACATGCCGGTGAAATCGAACGTTTCGACACCGCCCGTGGCTTCGGTCAGGAAAACGGCCTGGCCCCCGGGGATGTTGGTCATAGAGAATGGCTGTGCAAGAGATGTTCCCAACAACACTGAACGAACGGTGAAAGTAGCTTACCACCGGGCCACCCATGTTGGTCGTAACAGTCTGCGACAGAACACCATGTGAATTGACTTCCATCGCGAACATTGTTCCTAGAATCCTTTCAGCTAGTATTCTATGGCCCGGTCGATGTTCACGAACCATTGACAACGCCTGGGTTACCCTTCAGGGAAACGAACAAGTGCCTCCCGTCGTTGCTGAACAAGATATCCGCAAAGCTGCCAGGAGGTCCAGTCGGGGGAGTTGTCTGTGTGACGTTAAGATTACGCATAGAGCTCATTATTGGCAAGAGCCCGTGAACAGGATCGACGATGTGGCATCCAACTCCGTTTTGCGCGCCGCCGTTGAGGGTGCAAGTGAGCGGGAGCTTAGGATGAGCCGCGATGGCCATGGGGAACTCGCCCATAGAGGGAGCCGGTTTTCCGACCATGGTGATGTTGCTAGGGTCGTTGGGGTTGATGGCGAACATCGCGACAGTGTTGGAGCCAGGGTTGACGGCGAAGAGGTGCTGCGAGCAAGACAGTGTCACTGTGAGGAGACATGCAGTATATGAGATGGCTCACCCTGCCGGCCACCAGGATGGCGTTCTGCGAGAAAGTGGAATCCGGCCCCGTGGAGTTGGCGTGGAGGCCTTTGCCACCTGCTGAGACGGCACTAGAGAAGGACGCCTGGCCAGAGGCGTCCACGGCGAGAACAACGACTTCATTTCCAGATGGCTCGTTGTTAATGACTATTAGAGTCATCAGAGTCTGGTCACGAGAAACATCAGAGAAACTCACAGTAAGCAGCGGCAGCCGGGCCGTTGTTGCTCTTGGGGACTACTGCTGCAGAAGCGGCTAGCGCTAGCACGGAGAGAGTAAGGACTGCTTTGAAGGCCATGTTGAGAATCGTAAATGGTTGTTGTGGGTTTTGTTAGGTTTTCTTATTTTTTTGGTGTTTAGATTGGGTTTTTGAGGGGTGATTGGAGAGCCAGCTGCTTGAGTGCGATTTGCTCTCGAGGAAGCCTGCTTTTATAACCGGCGGTTCGGGAGAAAAGGTCGGGTTTTTCCTTCGGAGGCACGTGGCTTCTCCTTCTGTTGAAGAGCAACAGGCTGTGTCTCCCCACCGAAGAACATCAATAATGAGCATGTCCATAGCAATGAATACCCAAAAAGTAAATGATCGGAAGAGCGCTAACGGCACGGACCGCGGGGACACACGAGCAGTAGACAACACTGGGAATCAGGTGCAGGACGGACTGCTCAGCTGATTGAGCAACACCCGCAGGCGCGCATCAGACCTCGACTGTCAGCACGGCGCCATCCAGCTAGGTAAGCTTAGGCTGCTTGATAATCTTCAACAGTGTGCAACACGTGATCAGCAACGGTGCGGTGCACAATTTTTGTCAGCTGGTTCGCAACCGCCAGGTGAAAGGCAACGGGGAGCATGATTGGTGGGCAAGACAAGCGCTGGCTTACCAAGTGGGTATACCGAGAGCCTCTCACCTCCATTTGGCGGCACGAGCGTGAGAACCAGTAGCGATGAACAGACCTGCCAAGGACAGACAATGTGCCGACCCTGACCAAGCATATCAATTGGTTGCGCACCGCCTTTGAGGACGTTGCATTCTCTCGTGGTTTCAATCTCGACTAAGGCGCTGCAAGCCCGTGATTTCCAGCGTCCTTTGCAGGCAGTAGACAACGTATGCCGAGAAATGCACGTTGAAGAAGATATGGAGCATATCGAAGTGCACAGCACAACCCAGCGTTGCACTAGGTAGGTCCGGCCCGTGCCTGGCACATATGGAGGCCGAGCGTCGTCGTGGCTCTTAGCTGTCAAGTCGACCATGTCCTGGTCGATGAGTAGTGGAGGTCGAGTGTACAGTAGAGCTCTCTAAATCGAGCGACATCGCACAGCTTGGCCGGAGCAGACGCATCAACCGCGCCGGAGATGAATGGCCCAGCCTCATCCGTTGGGCTATATCTACGTTCTCATCCGGGACAACAACAGGCCACTTTCTTACATATCAGGCACAGCATGTAACAAATATCCCCATAACATTCCCAGGCGACTTACCCTGGATTTACAAGGTGACATGGCAACTCTTCACAAACAAACAACTTTGTAATCACTCGGCTCTCAAGAGATCACACCACTAGTACTAGTATTACCGGACCGCCAGCTGGGTCAGCTGGGTCAGACATAACACCACCCGGTATGGAAATGCACTTGTCATTATATGCCATCAAGAAGCATGATATCTCCCTCCAGGCCAACGCCGCCCAAGCCCTCCCTCCATCCATAACTCCACTTCGCGCCTCGCAGCCCGGCGGGAAGCTCAGCTGAAAGAGGACGGGAAAAAGGATGAGGATGAGGGAAATCAAAAAGTCCTTGTATACTCAAACTGGAAAGGAACGGAAGCCAACGAGACCAGGCCAGGTGTGGAGTGAAAAGCTCTTGTGAACGCGCGACCTTGGCAGGGTTGGCGTAGAGAACAAAGAGAAACTATCTGACAGGAAAGTGTTCTAGAAGATAGAGATTCGAGTCCGTAGGTTAAGGAAAGCGGAGGGAAAGAGCGGACGCTCGGCTCGCGAGCACCAGACAAATAGAACCGGAAGACCGGAGAAGAAAATTTGGTTAGAGCTGTCGCAGCTCGCAGTTTGAGTTGACGTTGTTTGGGTTTGGGTGGGATTGTCCAATTGGTTATGAGTGTTGTGGATCATATTGACGCTCCGAGGAGTACGAGTGCGCCAAGAAGAGCAGCCCAAGCCACAGATCCAGCAGTAAGCTGTACAGCAGCGCTCTTGCTCCCAGTATTGCCCGTTCCAGTCCCGTTGGTGCCGGTCGACCCGTTGGTACTGTTAGCAGCTGCGCTCGCAGGCAAGCTCGATGCGGGGAGGACGCCGGCGGTGCTCAGCGGTTGCTGCTCGATCTGCCCACTGCCGACCATGATCCATTCTCCTACTGAAGGTACACCGCCACAGACGACGAAGAGCATCGCCGGTCCTGGCTGGAATATTGCCGGGTTAGGGGGCATCTGTGCAACGTGTAGCACCCCGCTGCCATCTGTGTTCCCGGTATAGGACGTGGCGAGCTCGACCATCCGCATGCCCATGTTCATCGCGTGCGTGGAGAAGCCTGTGCGCATGACGGCTACTGTGCAGTTGGAGATGGAGGTAGAAGCAAGATCCTGCGCTGAGAGCTGTACGTCGAACGGCGGCCCACCGTACGAGAGGGTCGAGGGCAGGCCAACTGGTTCCGGACGGCGGGAAGAGTAGTATAGCGGGTAGAAGCGCTCCGTACGGTACTCGGTTGGGTACTTGACGCTGATGTCGTAGTCCGGGTTGGGGTTGGAACCGGAGACGAAGACAGAGCCGTCAGGGAGCAGAGTGGCGGACGAGTGGTACATACGCGGGACGGTGGATGCCTGCAGGCCATTCCTGCTGAAACGCTGGGTAGCAGGTGCGTTGGGGTCGTAGATCAGAGGGCTCATGACAGGCGAGTCGGCGTACGAGCGGCCAATTGCCCACGAGTCGTTTCCGTACCCAGCTGTACCGAGATTGGCACCGTTCAGGAGGAGAAGCTTGCCATCGGGCAGGATGATGAACTGGCCCATACTACGGCCCTCAGGAATAGAGTCGTCGTACTCCCAATTCTCGCTCACATCGGGGGAGATCTTGACGCAAGAGTTGTCAGCCGGGTAAGCGGCGATGTTCCAGGAAGCTCCACCGGGCTGGTCAGGCCACTGATCAGGCTCGAGGTTGGTCCCACCGCAGAAGATGACCGTCGCGGTCCAGTTGTTCGCAGGTGTCAAGGGAAGCATGGCTGTCGCACCCGAGGCGGGGTACACGCGCACAGCGTTGGGGATGTTGGGCAGCGGGTACTCAACCGCGTTCTTGTAGTCGAAGACCTCGGCCATCCAGTTAGACTGGATAAGGAGGTTCCCAGACGGAAGGAGCCAAGTAAGCGGGAACAAGTTGCACGGCATCGAGTTGAGCAAGATGTTGAGGCCGATAGGGGCACCTTGGGACGGGAAGAACTCGTACGTCGGGTTGTTCTGCGACGGATCGTTGACATATCCACCCCACTCGTCACCACCGATCTGGGATCACGTGAGTAGGAATCCTCAGTAGTAATTGCGCATACATACAACAATAAGAGACCCATCCTCCAGGTTCTCGATCGTAGGATACCACCGACGCGTAGTCATCTCAGGCAGGTCAATCCAATCGCACGACTGGTCATCACAGGGATCCAATATACTGTCTCTCAATAAGTGTCGGCCCAGATGTGCACAGACGGTACTCACCGCACACCCTTTCCACCATCCGCATCGTTGTACGGTGGTCCACCGGTCTGGGAGAACCCAGTAGGGGTAAGCCCACCATAGGATACGGCCTGATTGCCTCCAAAGTTGACCCACGAGCCGTTCGCAAGGACGTTACCCGCAGCGCAGAACGTGTTCGAGTAGAGGAACATCCCGCGTACTTCGTTTGTCGACACGTCGATCTCCGTGCCCCATGCTGGGTAACCGTTCACCTGGAGCGGGTTTCCCTCTGCCTTATCGAGGATGTAGACTCTGTCTGGTGTGCCGAGGAACATCTGAAAGTACGCACAGCGAAGCAGTTATATCAGTAAACAATGATGAAATCAGACCCTGTCCGCGGGGGGAGCGAGCAGGGCCCAAAGAGGCAGGAACGCGTACCTGCTGTGCAGACGCGCCTGAGTTTCCGACAATCTCGAACGTCCCTGGTACACCAGACTTTGTCGGCTGACCGGGGGCACCGGCCTGCCGTTTTGTCGGTGGAGGGTTGACATTGGGTGATCGTTTGTGTGGTGTGAGGTTTGCAGAGGCGGGGAGGACGGATGAACTGGCGAGAGCGAGGAATAGGAGCAGCTTGCGGCAGGTCATGGTCGTTGTTGATGAAGTGAAGAGGAGGATAGACACGAAGGGAGGGGCGTCGTGAAGGTGTTGTCAGGGCGCTTTAGAGGTAGGCGCTATTGGACCTAAAGAGCGTTGGCAGCGAGAGGGCGTATTTAGGACGCGGTGTATATGATAGCGAGATGGGCGGTGGGGGAATGCGGCGGTGGGGGATGTGGATGATGATGAAGAGGGAGAGGAGGATGATGGAGGGAGGAGGAAGAGGAGGACAAGGTGAAGGGATGAGAAAGGGAAGAGGGTGAGGTCGGGGGAAGCGTAAGTGGCCTACTGACGCGAGGCACAGCCATCACTCAGCGCAATGGAAAAGTCCAAAGGGGCGGAATAACAGACCCTTCACACACGCTTCACCGCATTTCTTCCAATCATACAAATAACAATAACCTTCTCCCATACAATTAAATACTTCAATCAAGTATCTATCACGACTACAGTCCATTTCTTCTATCTCTACAACTTAATCATTCGTACACCACTTTCCCTAAGCACCAACCCCCCTCATCAGGGCCACAACACCGCCCACCGACCACCACATCTCCATCACCTCCTCGTCTCTCGCACAGCACAGAGCTTGGCATCTGACCGGACGTGTGACTCCTTTTCTCAGTTTTTATGTACCCCTGTTCATCTCCGTCCCCGTCGCACTAGCACTTCCTATGACCGCATCACTTCCCTGTTCATTCGGTACATCACGCCCAACCTGCGAGTAAACTGCCAAGTATCTTAGACTAGTACTAGCCCTATGATGGATGACCCTTAAGCAGCTCCTCCAACAAACGTACTGCAAACCCTCTCACGTCAGACCCCAATGGAAGGCTTTCCTTTCCCGGCCATCCCACAGAAGCACACCCTAGCTTCTTCCCTGCCTTCCAAATATTAATTGCCCTCCTTCCGGCATGCAAAACGCTTATATACGCCGTTACCGGAAATGCGTACTATACTCTGCATGCCGAACTCTCACATCGATGAATGACATGTTACATGCATATGCTCACCAACTCAACAGCGTAGCTATTTCTGTACATGTCCTCGGCTCCGGCATCCCAAGCCAGCCCAGCTCCTGCCGTTCTCAGGGCATCCTACACCCATGACAAGCCGACAAGCTGAGCACCAATTAAACTGCACACAACTGCAACGGCAGACCTAGCAAACCCGGCAAGATGTAGAGCGCTCGGCAGGGTCTGCCGTGCTAAGTAGCCACCCTAGCTGCTTGACGACGGCGAACGCAACGCTCCTGCCGCTCCCTGCCGCTCCCTGCTTGCTCCCTGCCGCTCCCTGCTTGCTCCCTGCCGCTCCCTGCTTCCTGCCGCTCCCTGCCGCCGACAACAACGACAGCGACAGGGGGTTCTCTTTTCTTCTTTGTCCCTTTGGTGCCGCTGCCGCTCGCTGTCCGTTTCTCTCCGATACTCGACTCGACGTGAGGCGACGTGCAAACAGTTTTCCAGATCGTCAACATGCTCCCTCCCAGACGGACGACGCTCTCGGACAAGCTTAAGGTAGATGCATGTGGAACACTTGTGATTACGATTGCGATTTGCATCTGTAGTTGCAACAACCCCCGTCCTATCTAACGGTACGCTACGTAAAGAGCAGGACAGGCCAAGACAGGACAGGGCAAGATAAAGGCAGAAACATGAATGAAGTTGGTCGAAGGGAGTACACGAATAGATTAGAACAATGTTACACGATAATAACGGTGTACGTTGGATACTGTTTTTTAGGTTTCGTTCGGTCGGTCGGTAGGTCGGTCCGTTTGTGTGTCGTAACAACAAGTGAAGGTCAAGAAACCGCTTCTGGCGGTGGATGGGATTGGATGTTGCAGTGGTTGATTTGTAGGTGATGGTGGTGGTGGGTGATAATGGAAGGATGGAGTAAAACCTCGCAGAATGTATGTACACCATGGGAGAACAGAAGCGCAGAAGCGGGCAAGTATGCGAGAGGATCGATGGTGATAGTAACAATAGTTTGCGGGTGATGGTACGATGGTTGTGAGAGTTGTCATGATGCAGAATGATGCGGATGTGTGATGTCTCATGATTTTGTCGTGAAGTCGCCGCCGTGGTTCAAGATACCCTCCCCAGGGTCATAGGAGTGGTTGCGCTCAATGCGCAATGATCGTCCTGTCCGACGCACTTGCGATCAACGACCTGTCGTCTTCAAAGCACGTCCAGGCGCCAGAAGCCATCCTCTCGGCCATCGCGCGCTCTTTGCGCTCACGGAGCTGCTTGCCGCCACGCTTGCCACGGCGCTTTTTCCCAGCGCTGGCGAGCGAAGACGTGGAGCTGCACGGAGAAAAGCGAGAGGAAGGATCCGTCGCCGCTGTGGTTGCGGTGGTCGCAGAGGGACAGTCGACAGAGGAGATCGGCGAAACGCAGCGCGATTCCGGGATAGACAGCGGATAGAGCAGTTCGGAAACTGGCCGAGTCTCGATGGTCTCGACAGTCTCGTTGGTTGGGAGGCTGAGATGGAACGCAGGGAAGTCGTTGTTCTTCTCAGGTTCGAATCCAAGACCAACAAAAGACTGAGTAGCCTGGAAGTGATTCTTCAAAGAACCCAAGCGAGCCGTGTTGTTGACATCCTGGCCGGCCAGGCGAGGAGGGCGACTGGCCTGCCTAGCCCGGACCCAACCGGGGCTATCCTCGATCTCGTCTTCCTGCCACGCACTGACGGTCTTGTCGTCTGCCTCGCAGTCAGTCTCAGTGTACTCAACGTCATCTTCCAAGGCCCAATAATAATCGACGCAATCGGGCATGTTCTCTGGAAGACCGAGGTACAGCCCACTGCCGCGCACATAGACGTTTCCTCCTTCGTACCGCTGGATGGGCACCGCAGTCGAACGCATGTGACGGATCATGCTTCCTCTCCCTGCTTTGATCGCGGATTTCTTCTGCTCGAGCATCGGGGAAGGATAGAGCTCAGCTTTGCCCCGCTGTACGAATGGCGAGGCAAAAGGAGATGCCAGAGGAGAGATACCGAAGGCGCTGGGCGTGGCGAGAGTGGAATCAGTCATGCTAGTCGCACAGCGAGACAGCAGAGGTGCGACGGGAGAGGCACGTCCATTCGTGGGATCAAACGTCGGCTTGGCAAGAACGGTTGACCAGTGGGGACGAGGTGGCCAGCTGGTGTTGAGCGACAATGGCTCGGCAGACTCTGCGAGCGAGAGGTCCTCGTCGACAGGCGTATTCTGCAAGAAAGAGTGAGTATATGCGTCATATATGCGCATACATGAGGCATGACTCACGAGTTTGTCGAGCAGGCTGTCGGGCATCATCTCCCACACATCGATATGCGGCTCTTTGAGCCCCTTTGCCATCTCCCACTGCTCGAATGACCAGTTCTCCTCCTCGAGACCAGCGCTGAAGAAGCGCTTAGTCTGCGAGACTCGATCCTGGGCATCCAACAGATCAAGCTGGACGAACGCCGCAGGCGGGATGCGCAGCACACCGTCGTCGGTGCCAGGATCGCACCGTGCGCGGAAGCGAAGATTGATGGGCGCAGCGCCGAGATAGTGCCAGAGGACCTCGCGCATGGTGTCAGGACGAATCTGGGTGGCCTTGCAGACGGTGCTGGAAAGGATAGCAGGGATGATATCGTTCCGGTCATCGGTGGAGAGCTTGAGCTGGAAGTCGTACGGAGCACTGCGTGCGGCGTTGATCTGCATCGAGAGAAGATGGAAGAGGGATGCACGCATGATCTTAAGCATCGCGAGCTCTATCCTGTGCACGGGAGCACCGTTGACGGGGTAGGCGGGGATAAGCTGGTCGATGATGGTGTTGGCTGCGAGGAGGGGCATGTGGGGGATGCAGTGTGCGCGGGGGAGACGAGGCATTGCGGATGAGGCTTCGATGCAGAGACGGAGGAGCTGGTCGTGGGAACGGTCCGCCATGATATAGACGGAATGGGAGGAGGACATGACTGTGCGATGACTGGAAGGGGTGAGGGAGTTGGTGTGTGTTGTGTGTGAATGGCAGTCCGATCCGGCGAACGGCGGCGAGGGGAGTGTATGCGCGTTGTGGTGTGGGTGGATGTTGGTGGGAGAGATGCAAGGAGGAGAAGGAGATGAGAGAGAGAAGAAAAGAGTTGGGGGGAGGGGGAGAGATATGCGAGTGTGATATGACCAAAAGGGGGGGAGTGAGGGAAGATATAGGAGCGAGACAAAACAGGAGGAATGAGTGCCAGCCGCCGAAGGGGATGAGAGAAGCAGTCAAAGGAGAAACAGATGGCAAAAGGGAGAAGGAAAAGGTAAGTGCTGTCTCAGCGTGAAGGGAACACGCAGACAAAAGACAACAACCAAGGCCACTTCAAGCACAAGACAATAAAACGTCCCCTAACACAGTCCAACCTCCAAATTCTGATCAAAACTCGAATACAGTGTCCTGCTCTGCAGTTCTGTTCCAGTAGTTTTGTGTACCATCCAACAGTGCCATGATATCCACTGCTTTATACAATAATCTCCTGGCACAGAAGAAGGGTCATCATCATCAGCTCCCGCCCCTTCCCCAGCCTCGCTCAAACAACGCGTATAACGTACACGTACCTTCCTCATTCCTCACTCATGTCCTCCTCACTTCCTCGTCGTGTCCACATCTCGGGCCATCTCCCTGCTCACCGGCAAGCAAAGGCCCCCTTACGATCAAGAATATACGGCGGGATAGCGACAATCCCGGTCTGGCCTTGTTCAGTGATGCCGGCGTCGCAAGGCCACATACACGCGCCCCCGCACGCCAGCATCACCCCCACACGTGTACATGCCTCCGTTCTGCTTCCGGTGCCACCAGATCTCACCGCCTCGATAGGGTCCTGGCACAAAAGGGGCCGCAATGACGATGCTTCTCTGCTTCTGTCCCATGTGGTAGAACAATAAGCTGCCCTGCTTCATCCTTAATTCTAGGCTTTTATCTCTCTCACGCCCTTTCCTCCGCCGGTCTAACACCCCTCCCCTTCCTGAGTTTCGCACAGATACTCAACTTTGCCCCACCACGCATGATGAATACCCACATGAGCGTCCACATTGATCATTACGCGAACGTTCATCTTCAATGCATAAATCCTCATGTTCACCCTCAAGCACCACAATCTCTTTCTCACGCAACCTCATCCAGCCGGTCGAACCATACTCACCAGCCCATCTCCTGCGCTAACTTCTTCCCAAACGAGTAAACAGCGTAATGCATACTCGCGCCTTTGCATGATCTTCTCCCTGCATCTCCCAACTTCCGCTGGGGGAACATGAAAAAGAAACCCATTCAACAGCTGTATGCTGCCCAACCAACCCGAAAGGAGCACAATGAGTATAGCTGATTCTGGGAAAATTGTTACACCCTCGCCCGGAGACCCTGTCCTTTGACGGCGGCCCCGCCGGTCAAGACACTCAACAAGCACCGTTTCCTCTTTTCCGACTCCGGAAACTCTGCTTTTCGCACCGGGATAACCCCAGTACGTCAGTGGAAACTAGAACTCGATTGAGTGATTTCTTTCTTTATCAGATTCCAGAGACACGCCACGTGTAGTCAAGGGATGCCGGCAGGCGCCAAACTTGAACGCACTGCGACAGGTCCCGGACTCCCGGGGAAGGCACACCTCTCTTGCAGCTGTCTCCTAGCTAGTGACTGGACGCACTGCTTTCGCTGCACAGAACGGGTAGTGTGTTCCGAAAACTAGTGGTGTGCTGTCTCCCGGTTGCCGGCAACTACTGTGCAGCACCTCGCGGGTTTCAGACCGAGCGGCCAAAATATCTTTCTATTATATAAAGATAAAAATTGAGACGCCAGGGTCGATATGAACCTCAACTTGTACTGTCTCACCCCGTGCCAAGGAATCTCAATATTCTTCCTCTCTGTGCTGAAACATGCCTGAAACGAACGGGTTCTCCCACCAGCACGAAGACAGCTTATCCCAACCGGAAGGTACTCAGAATCCCACACCTTCGGTCGTCGTCAGCCCTCCTCCAGGGACGCCTCCCCGCTCGGTACGATTCAACGTGCCCCCCACGCCCCCCACGCCGTTGAGTTCTGAACTGTACGAGTCTGGCTCTGGCTCGGATGCGACTTTGGATGCGGGTCAGCGTTCGGACGATGAGAGAACTGAGTCTCCCGCTACGCCCGAGCCTGTGGAAGGGGGAGGAGACCCGCGCTTAAAGGTCTGTTGACGCCCTGGTTGTGTCTCTCCATAATGACCGATGTTAGGACTTGAAACCTTGTGTGAACTGTAAAGAGGCGTAAGCATTTGCTTGGCGCTGGGAATGCAGATGCAGATGCTCATGCCCGTGCCTGATAGTCATCTAAAGTGCGACGGAGTGCCCTGCAGCGCATGTAATGTGCGAAAGATCGAGGTACGCCTGCAGGATCCCCCCCGAGGGAAAGCTCAACAACCACAGTGTACCCCTACGCGGGAAACGTTCGAGCGCTCCCTGGAGGCCGTGACAACATACATGGAGCACCAGATCGGGGAGCTGAAGCGCCGGCGAAGCTCACTCACTCCGACGGGATTCCTCCGACTTATTTCCGAGGAATTTGCGAGCAACGAACGATTTCGATTCAATTTTCGGGTTTTGAAAGGCAGGACACAGTTGGTGTCGTACACCAGGAGATGTCATCCTTGTCAAGCTGGGTATGTGTAGCAAAACTCAAGAAACGCTTCCTACTCACTTGATCTGCTTCAGCAAGCTAGAATGTGTGAAAACAGGAGATGAGAGACGATGCGCCGCTTGTGCAGCAGAAAATCATATCGTGAGTTCTACGTCCTGTACTCATCTGGGTACGACAAGCTGACCACTCGGCCAGTGCCGGAGATTTGCGATCACCTTCACAAATTCAGACTCTCGCCTAGGTGATGTCGACAAGAAATTCCGCGAGCTGTGCGAAACACTTGCTGTCCACAAGCAGACCGCCAAGAATGAGCAGCATCGTGCCAATACCGATGCCGAAGCATCTCTCATCCGCGTGCGTGTTCCGCTCTGTCCTGTTTGCAAGCTGGCGATTTATACCCCCCACAGCAAGATTCGTTTATAGACACGCCTGCGGTTTCTCAAAATCATGGCTCGAGTCCTTCGTTGACGTTTCCATGGATGGCAATCTTCGACTCGTTAGCATTGTCCACGCTTCTCCTATCTCTGACTTACCAGTGTTATCTAGTGCAATGGCGAAAACACAACCAGGGGCGCTGGTCAAGAATCTCGGCCAGTACACTGTGTTGCTTAGGGACGAATTGGCGATCACCACCGGTGGATTTGCTGATATCCACAAAGCGAAACTCACGATCAGCCTGGAGAGTCATTCCCTGGACCTTATCGTTGCTCTCAAGCGGTTCAGGGGTAAGATGACGCAAGAGAGGACTGCGCAGGTACGTCTCTCTCCGTGTCTGTCCATCGTATTCGTCTGATCGAGTCTAGCGTCATGAACACGAAATGTCGATCTGGAGCGAACTGCGCCATCCCAACATCCTTCCTTTTTTAGGTCTAGCGCGGCTGGATGAACTAGGCCCATGTTTTGTTTCGCCCTGGATGATGCATGGAGATGTCCTCAGCTATCTCAAGGAGTATCCAACAATGGACAGGGTTCGGATCGTATGTGGATATTGCTATACTGTAGGTCACTAAAATAAATCAGTACAGATACGCGGTGTAATCCAAGGCATTACCTACCTGCACACACAGAAAAGGCCCGTAATTCATGGCGATATTAAAGGGGCAAGTACTTGTCATTCATTCGAGTGAATCCTGTTGCTCACATGCTGTCATCGTTTCAACAGCTCAATATACTTATCTCGAGTGAGGGATTTCCCGTCCTTTGCGATTTTGGGCTGTCTATCCTCCTCGACCCCGATGTCGACCGTGCCACCACAACTACTGCAGCCCTTGGCTCACAGAGATACATGGCGCCAGAACGTCTCCTTCCAAGAAGATACAACCTGTCTATGCATCAGAGTCGCACGCCCGCTGCGGATATGTTTTCTTTTGCAATCACCGCATTTGAGGTATGTCATTCTTGCGAAGAGCCCTTTATTCAACCTCAAACGGATGCTGTTCAGATCCTCACTTCCATCATCCCGTTTGTGGGGATATCGGGCTTCAACGCTGGTATGGAAATCGTAAACGGAAGGCGACCCGACATTCCTGAGGTCTACTACAACAATCCGGCACACAAGAACTTGATTGAGTCTATCACAGGATGCTGGTGTGAGCGACGGGAGGAGCGGTTGACCGCTGTTCAAGTCCTCGAACTTTTGGGATGACCTCGATTTCGTCCCATGTTGTTTGGAGCTAGTCATGTTGGAAGCGCTTTTCATGTGGGATCGCTTCTTTATCTTACAAGATGATGATTACATTGTATCTGCACACAGATTTGTATTAAACTTATTATCATTGTCCAAGCGGACATCACAATTCACGTGAAGCCTCAGAGAGCAGGGAAAGAGCAATCCCTCGAGCAAATTGCAAAAATATAGCGAGTACACGTGCGTGTCACATGTTGCGTTCTACGAGTTGTAAAGTAAGTCACAGATTTCTACCATTTGTGGAAATTACGTTGAGGGTCAAATAGGCGCCCATCGGTAGTTGTGGAGGGAACGCCAAGAGACAGCGATATACAATTATCCCCATTGTACAGTCGAATCTACGCAAATACTGTTCCTTACGCTCTAGAAAGGAGTCGGAACAAAGAGAACAACAACAAAAATCGGAATTGTAAGCGTGTTCCATACACCTGGGGCGGGCGAGTCGCATTTCCTCTTGCCAATCATATCCTATATGCCTCTATGTCGCATGAGATGATTGACATCGAGTCCCGCTATACCTCAGTCTTGCGCCTAGCACGGAGCTGTCTCCTGAGGAGATTCAGCGCAGCAGCAGCAGCGGCGGCTTTCACCTCCCGCCTATCTCCTTTCTCCAAACACACCTCCCCTCCTTCCTCTACGACAACCCCATTCGGCCCATCGACACCCACGAAAACCGTTCCCACCGTTCTGCCACCATGTTCCGCCGGACCAGCAACTCCCGTGACGCCTACGCCGAAATCGGCCCCAAACAGCTTCTTGATCGCGCTCGCCATCGCCCCCGCTGTCTGAGGGGAGACGACGCCATGATCCTCCACTGTCGGGCGTGGGACTCCGATAGTGTACTTAGCTTCGGAAGAATAGGTCACCACACCCCCGACGAACTGCTCGCTGGCACCGGGGATGTCCGTGATGGAACTTGCGATCAGCCCCCCCGTGAGGGACTCGGCGGCAGCCAGTGTCCGACCTTGTTGTTTTAGCAAGCCCAGAACGGCAGTCGCGAGGGTAGACACCGGTTCTGACTCCCAGGCTTCTGATCGGCCGGTGAGAGGCCAGACATGCTGTGAGTGGAAGACGAAGTCTTCTGCTCCTAGCAACTGTTCGATGCGCTGTGACAGGGCGAGCAGGGGCGTCTCCTCCGGCGCTGGAGTTTCCGTCCTTGAGGATACTGGCTGAAGATAGACGTCCACGCACGCTTCGGATGGTGAGGCGACTGTGATAAGTGTGAGTTCTGGTGGAAGGGAGGTGAGCATGGACGAGAGCCGTTTTTCAATAGAGGTCGCCGTGAGGCCCGTGACTCGGAATCGACTGTACCACGCCATGAGTGTTGTTGGGGGTGGATCTACAGAGCGTGGAGTGAGCAATGAAGATTGGGCTATTTATGAGCGTACCAAGGACGAGCGACTCTGCAAGTCAGGACGTTTGACTCTGCCAATGAGGACGTGCGACTCTCTTAATCAGGACGTGAGGCTTTGCCAATCAAGACGTGACGGAGGATCGACTGCTAATCCTGGGCGGTTGCGACTGGTGAATTCGTTGTTCACCTCAGATGCGCTCGACTCGAGATCAACGTCTTATCCCCTTGGATGTCGGAAAGGACAGTGACTGAAAGATATTCCCGAAGCATTGAAAACTGTCCGACGAACGCGTGGATATCACGTTTCTGCATCGCACGTGCGAAAAGGAGTGTTTTCCAAGTGAATTAAACAGAGTTGGATTGGAGTGGAAGAGATGGAGATGAATACACAGTTAGACTGGTCTGTCCTTGCGCGAAAATATACGCCAGACGGACTTGCGGATGGGCTCGACGGCAGAACGGGAGAACCAAGGGGAAAGGTACAGCGACAGACCGATACGGACTGGAAGAATAGCCTGAGGGAAAATATTGTTGTTAAATATCCAGAAAGAACGGCGACAACAAAGAGATACTCACCTTTGTTAACCCATACGCAAGGACGACGTTGGCGACGTCGCCTGCTATCCACTCGCCTAACTGTTCAGCCTTGTCACTGCTCTCCCTTCGAATCTTCTGCTCATCCTTCAACCTCCTCCTCCCCTCCCTATCCAGCTTCTCATACCCAAACCACCCATACCTGCCCCCAATCCTCTCTGCCGACTCCCCGCCTTCCCTCACCCAGCGACGCATCAGCTCTCCTCCCCAGCCCTCGCCGCGCGTCGCCCACTCCACCGTGCTCTGCCCGACACCGAGCCAGCGGGAGGCGAAGAAGAACCCAAAGAGGGGAAAAACAGCTGTGAGTTCGTGCAGAACGCCGAAGGAGACGATGAGCGAGGGGAGAGGGGCGCCGGTGCGCTGCGAGAGATTCGTGAGGAACTGCATGTACGGCAATGTGCGTTTTGATGGTGGTCGAGGTGCTGTTGAGCCTGGTGTTGAACTAGGTAGTGGGGCCTGTGTTCCCTCTGCAAAGCGCCGGACTCTTGTGGCAAACATCTTGGGCAAGTGAATGCAAGATGAGGTATGGCACACAGAGTGTATGGGTATTGAGGTCGTCGTCGAAGGCAAAGACGGCTGGGGTGCCAGCATGGTCGCACCGCCTCGAGAAGTCTATCGACACAACAACAAAGTGTACAATAACTTCATTCGTGGCAAACTATATCTACACCGTCTTTGGCGTATCCCAGAGCGTCGTGAAATCGAACTGGATGCCCATGATCGCCTCAAGCCCAGCGTTCAAGTACGTCTTCTGCGTCTGCTCATCCCCTGCCATAGCAAGGCACATCTCCTTGAGTAGCGGGTCGTTCTCCCCAATCTTCTCGGGATCCTCAGTATGCAGACGCACTTTGTTCCGCGACGACACGGGGTTGATAATGTCCTGCCAGATCTGCTTGCGGATCCGCGAGTAGTCGTCCAGGATCGAGGGGGACGCTTGGCCCGTGAGGATGCCTTCGAGGCAGTCGGCCAGTCCACCGCCGTCACACAGACCACCGACGAGTCCCATCCCACTGCAGGCGAGGGATGAGCACAGTGTATCCCCCGTTGGTAGTCGCTTACCCGAATGGATTGCACACATGCGCTGCGTCGCCTGCCAAACACACTCTTCCGACTCTGAATGTCGTTGCACACCTCTGATGCAGCTTGTACGGGCTGATCATCTGCAAATCATATTGCAGCGGCCTTGGTGCTCCCTTGGGGAACATAGCGTCGTACTTCATCGGCTGGCGAGCGATGTACTCTTCCCTCGTCAGCCCGGGTACCTCCCCGTAGGAGCAACGCCAAACCCCGCCCTTAGCGACGCGGGCGATGAGCGCCCAGTGCTCGGGGTCGACGATGAAGTTCGAGTCCCACATGCCGTATTTTTCAAAGGGGAAAACGACGTTGGTCGCTACGACCGGTTCCTCCCACGTGTGGCCTTCAAACGGCAGCTGTGCGCACCGGGTCAGCAGGGGATTACCTGCAGACAGAACAACATACATCCAAGAGCTTCCTCACGGTGCTTGCTGCACCATCAGCACCCACGACCCAATTTGCAGTAAATGTCTTCGTCCCCTCCGGCGACTCCACCTCCACGCTCGCTGCGTTCTCATCCGGGGAGAGCGCGGTAACCTTATGGTTCCATAGCAACTTGACGTTGTCGCCATATACCGCCAGGTGTTTGCAGATGATGAGTCCAAGACGGTGCTGGTCAATGCAGACCGCGCGGTCGTCGTCGCCCAAGTCGCGGTTAGGCAAGCCAGTGATCGTGCGTCCATCGAGGGTTTGCCAGCGGACGCTCTACGCACCTCAGAGATTAGTCCCCAAGTCGTATACGAAGTGACAGAGCGCACCCCGACCATAAGCCCCTCCTCTCTGCACTCATCGATCAGCCCCGCCTTCTTGAGCTCCACTACCGCAGGACGGCTGTAGTACGCCGCCCTCGGGCTGGTATTCAGCGCTGCCTCTTGCTCGAGTATCGTCACCGGTACATGGAGCATCGCCATCCGGAGTGCGACGAGCAGGCCCACGGGACCAGCACCGACGATGATCACCTGTGTGTCATGAGGGTTAGCTTGTGTGTGGGGAGGGAAGAGAGACGCACGGATTGGGACGTGTCGGCTGGGACGGTTGCGCGGAGATGGGCATCACCGTTCGCTGGGACTGGAGCGTGTCCATTGGTGCTTAGCGCACTTAGACCATTGAGAGTAGCGGTGAACATCGTTCAGACCTCGTTCTAGTTATTCTAGGAAGCGTCGAGTAACCACGTCGAGATCGTAGGAAGGTAGATGTATGCGCCTATTTCGCGCCCTAGAGCGGTATGTATTGACCCCTGCAAATTCTCATCGTGGAAGAATGTTTGCCACTGTCCAGGAACATTGTGGATGTCAATTGGATAAGATGAATCGGCTGACAGGTGAGGAATGGACAGGTGAGCACAAGGCGGGTAAAGGTTCGAACGCGGCGTCGGCGGAAGCGGTGACAACGGTTAGGGCGTCGTCCAACTCTTGGCGGTGAATGCCAGGGCATTAACATCTACTATTCGAACGATGCGATACAGTACAATGCAAGGAGCAGTGTATGACATGAACTCGGTATAATCGGGTATACATGCAATGGTTGTCCACTAGAGTGGGGTGTACAGGGCATTGTCAACGACATGCAGAACTATGTTTACGCATCTAGTCTAATATCAGCATCAATTAGAGAGCAGCTAGGAATGCACGCACAATAAGATGACCCAGTAATGAGCGTGCTCAACGCCGAAAGCTGGTCCTCATTAAACTTGTCCTTGTCCTCACGCCACGTATCAATATGCGTCTTACGGAACATCCTCGCAGTCTCGGTAATAGTGGTTGAGATAGGGATAGGATCATATGCATGCTTCTCCAAGAAGATCATGAGCTCCGGGCACCAGCTGGGTACGGTGTACGGATATGCGCCGAGAAGCGCAGATATACCCAGGATGGCAGAGTGCACGGTGCGCACGGCGATTGCAAAGTTGGGATCGGAGCGGGGTGGGATGGGCGTCGCTTCGGCTCGGAAGACAAAGCGGTCTTTGAATGAGATCACGCTGTGACGCGAAGAGCAGCGAAGGATGCCAGATAGTGTGTCAGACGCTGCTTGACGGACCTGTAACGCAGGGTTTAATCAAAGCCGAAGTCCCCGTCGTCCTACGTACCTCCACGACTTCGTCCATCAGCGACTCCTCCAAGACTGACAGGATATCCTCCACCGTCTCGTCTGATAACGAGGGCAGCTGCCGGAAGTACAGGACCTGAAGTCCAGGAATGGCGTATAGCCGGACCTTCCAAGACTGAAGCGTCATCAGCGTGATAAACCTTTCGCAGAAAAGTATGAGCCTACTGTAGAAGTGCGGATCACATCGAACAACGTGCTGAGCACAGATGAAAGAGTGTTCCGGGGCATCGGAACGCCGTTCATGCGAATCAGCAGCATTGCAGCTAAAAGGGGTTCAGCGTCAAGTAACGACAATAATCCACATGGACGAACATCGAGCAGCCAGATCCGTAGAGTCCTCCATGATAAGCATCCGGAAGAGCTCAGGACTGGAATATGTTAGTCAACGTACGCGGAGCGAAAACTGTGTCCTACATCATGGGGAGTATATATTGAAAAGCCATTGCCGCATTTATGTCATGCAACATGCCAAATAAGAAACGTACAACTTAAAGTTTACGGTTAGTTGAGAACGGAGCAAATACCGATTCAATACGCACGAGTGCCGGCAACCCTGTTGACATCCCATCAGCAATTGTAACAGAATCAGAGCGATCTACTCACTTGTCGTACGTCGAGTACGGAGCCATCGCACCATGTAATCGCTCCTCTCGCCATTTTGGCAGTTGGGCTATCAACTGGAGGAACTCATCCAGCTTATAGCCGCTCTGCAGACCCATCACATCTCGCTGCGGAGATGGATCTCGGCATTCACGGACAAACGCTTCTGCGGTCGGGACCGATACTCGCGGTCGCCACTGCGATAAATGATTAGAAGAGGATATCACTTCTCTGGGACGTTGCTCGCACCTTTAGCTTGACATATAGTGTGAATGCCTCCGAGATGTAAGTCCGTACCTGTCGTGATCGTAAGATCGTTCCTTGACCCTCAGAATGACCCTAAGCTTACTTCTTCATGCTGGCTACCAACTTCTTCCCAATAGCGATCAAAGAAATTGTCAGCCCAAGCTGAAAAACGCCAGCCTAGATCTGCATCAATCGCCCGAACGAAGCTTTCCTTTTTGACCACTACGACATAAATGAGACACGAGACACCACAAACCTCAATGACCAGTCACCTTCAAAGGATGATTGATCGTTGAAATCGACCTCCAACCCATTCGCAACGATATAATCAACAAGAGGTTGTTGACGACGAGGATCCCTGTTGGTTGCAATTGTCTACAAAAGCAAATGAGCTGCGGAGATAACAAAATCCTGGAGAGTACCGTTATGAACGAGCACCAAATACCAAGGGTGTCTGTCTTGATCGATTTGAATGTCGTTGGAAGCTGGACTCTCAGCCAGTCCCACAGCGCCTTCTGGCTGTCAAGCGCCCAATGCTTGCTTCCTAACAGAATGTGTGAGAGTCTGAGAGGTCGTTTTGTTCAGCACATGCCCGTAATGACTCCCGCAAGGAACTCAGCAGCGGCTCGCTGCTTATTCATGTCATCGGCAACAAGAAGCTCGTCCAGCACAGGTCTCATCGTCGCTAATGGTGCATCACCTATGAGCTGGACTAGAAATTCTGTCAGCGTATCGTCATTGCTTTTGATCTTTCAACCCACAAATAGACTTGATGCAAAAGATGGCGTCAGGACTGGTAGATTCTGCCTGAGTTTCTTCGCTCAAATAGGCCGCGTATTGCCTCCAAAATGCCTCATCCAGCACAGCAGCGGAGACGGCCTTCACGGCCGGCCGGGAAGCTTCTTCCCATTCCGATATATGTCTTGATCGTTGAGGGAAAACGTAGCGGGTGTCATCATTCCTCCATGCAATCCAACCGGAGGACGCTTTGTCCTGTACCTCGCTGATATGTATTCAGCTGATCAATTTTATTGAATGGTTCTTATGATATGACTCACATGTAAGGAATGTCGTCTTCTCTTATGGGTGTTTTGAAGGCTTGGAGATACTGTGCGGTATACTCATTTGTCTTCTTGGGGTGTATAATCTTCTTGTAAGGGTTTTGACTCCTGCTGATGGTAAGATCGTACGGTGTGGGACAGAACGTCCTAAATTTGACTAGATGCCTTGGTCAGGGGAAGCAACAGCAGTTTGTTGAGCTGTCTTACTAAATCGTAAGGTTTTCTGAATCGATCTATACGTCGGTTGTTCAGTACCATCCAAATAAATGGAGCAAGGTATTCACCTCTGGGCATAGTACCGTACACGAGGGTTCGGATTGATCACTGCTTTGAAGAGCCATTCCGTCCAAACTGCGTTGGCTGGTTGGTCCCGCCGGGTCAACGTACGTAAAAATCGTATTGCCAGGATCGAATATTTCCAGTGTGTATTCGGGCTGGTGGCAACGCGCAGGAGGATGTCTACCTGTAGCAATATTTGTAACGTTACCGACTGTAGATGGAAGAGAACACATACTGTATCTTGGATGGCCTTTTCAATCTTCTGCATTCTCATGATTCGATTCTCAAGGCATTTCTTGATCAGCACATCACTCTCCACCTCAGGTAGCACAACACGAAGGAGCTGTTTAGCTGCGTTATCCGGCCCTGGTGTTTCCAATAGATAGATGAGATTGTTGGGTTCGGCAATAGTACCGATGGCTATAAGGCATGTCACCCCGCAGAGCCTACACGTAGAACGCTGAGTACACACCGTTATCGGCTAGCGCGGCTACGCAGCTCTGGATAGAAGGCTACTCTTCACATCAATCCATCTGATCAGAGCACTGACTCCAATTTCCTTACCTTTTCTTGATGCTGGCATCCAAAAAGTGCCTCCACAAACTCGGGGGTTTTCTGAGGCTCTGCAAGGACATCAGCACATCTTGTCAAAGGAGACCTGGGAAAGTCAAGGACCTGAACACGCGTAGCGAGCTGGCAGCGGAGGTTAGGAACATCTTCTGTATCTCCTAATCACGGCACATACCAAAATTAGGCAAGTTAAGTGTATACAGCGCCCCTTTCATTCGATCGGCGTCTATGCCAGGTTGTAGGGCATGATACAGCGTTGGGAAACACTGATTTCGCACACCGTCGAAACCTACGCAGATCAAGGAAAGTGTGTTTTGGGCCGCTCTGTAAAGATCATTAATTTGAAAAAGGATAAATGCGAGTTGGTATCTTACGCCCTGACTGTAATGAATGATCAGCACTCTAAATCTCACACATCGGACACTAAACTCACTTGTTGGGAAAGACCAAAGGCTCCACTCCAAAACATCCATTACCAAGTCGCGCTCTAATTTGCTTTGCCGCCGGTCCAAACTGTTCCAGCGTAGCCTCCCAGCATGCAGCAGACGTGCCCGACGAACCCAAACCATACGTGGCCACAACTTCTGAACAGGCACCAACCGTGCAATCTGAGGACATTGATAAGAGACTGCGCCTTCCAGTGATTGAAGGTGATAATACCCTCTTCTCGTTGTTATACTTCTCCTGGACAGTTTTATAATCTTCGGCCGCCTCACCATATTCCAGGAAGAAGGTGGCTATCGATAATACCTGCAAGTAAAGTATGTCAACGATGAGCGAGATCAGACAAATTGGTTACTTACAATCATTGCTACAGGATCAACGGCATTCTCGTCACCGTGCTGTCGCAAGAACATAGATGCCCGGTGAACGAAGTTTCCGAAATCTTCTTTCAAATTAGCGATATATTGCCACCGGGGATCTTGCTCGTCGGAGAGAGGGAATCCAGACTCAATCGGACTTCCATGAGTAATGAATTCGGGTATTTCGTCCCTGAAGAGCCGTCAGCGTACATCATGGTGCGGCAAAACCACGTACAACACGTCACCAATAGCTGAGACAGCAATAGCTTCCTCCATTGATACGTGCTCTTTCCAAAGTGTTTGTATCCCTGTGAAGCCATTTCTCACGAAACAGAACAACCTTTGTGACTCATGAGATGAGAGATAGACTCGATCGTAATATGACATACCGACAAACATCATTACGCCACACAGCATCCCGTTCGACACTTTCGTCGAACAGCGACTTCAAAGTGGCCAGGGTAGGCTGTACCAATTCTTGGAGAATCTGCATGCAGAGAGCGACTTCGCCTTCATTTGGTACGTGCCACTGCGGTCTCACTTCAGTCAAAAACACGTGAACCACTTGAACTGACCGACCTCGACTTTGACGTCCTGGGGCGCGTAGTTCTTGCCCCAATAACGATGATGATTCAGTTTGAAGTCTTCGAATGTGTTCAATACACGATCAACGAGGAGAAAGGATCAGGCATACCAGCACTTTCCCATGTTTCCCTATTCACAAACCAGGTATTTTGGGGATATGTATGCGACAATGCTAGGAGCAAATCGGACAATAGCTCGCCGGTCCACGTATAACCATGCTTCGAGTATGTTTTGTCCCGCAATAATCGCAAGAGTGATAGGAGATTTTCTTTGTAGGGAAGCAACTATTACGCGGTCAGACATCACATGGGAGTACGATGGCAGGTCCTCACGCTCTTGCCGTTTCCATCCATCAGACCCCTTAGTAATCCAAGGTCTGCAGCAAGACTGAGTCAACCTGTCAGAGAATTGATATTTGATGTCAGCTTACTCCAATGGAATGTGGCGTCTGAAGAGCGTTGTTGTCCCCATTGTGTTGATCGTATTGAGCTAGCGCCGTTCTCTAACTCAGACCGAATGACGCGCTCGCAATGGGGCAGGAACTGCGCCATGGATTTCGGAGGATTACCATTGGCAACACAGGCGATCAAGCTATTGATGCTGCCTGCCGCATTGGGGCGAACGTTTTGGGTCACGTAGTCCTGCAAGAAAGAATGAGCTCGTCCCCATAACGGATGCTAGAACACTCACAAAGACGAGATTCAGAACGAAATCAAATAGCGGTTCGGACAAATGGGTGCAGATCTGATTGCAAACAGCGAACACGGTCTCTAGCAAGGGGTCTTGGGACGTAATCAGTACCGGGGCGTGTTCGCAAATTTCATATATGCGAACCTTCTGATGCCCCCTCCGGGTCTTCTGGGAGATTGTCCATCATCAGGAACACTCGTCCGAAAAAGCTCGATAGCCACGTGGAGAAGCGAGATGTCGATTCTCGCAGAAGCTTATCTTCGTCGCTTTCGCCCGCCACTTCTACGATAGGTGACATGGGATCGCCACCGTCAGCGATGGTTTCGAGAGAGACTTTGGGTATTGTCGGGGACCGAACAGTCTGCATCTCATCGTCGCTTTCTCCAGCACCATTTTCCATAGGCATTTCAGGAACTGTGAGATCCCCGATCTTGATATGCTGTAGCACTTCCAGCAGGAAACTGGTGGTCAATTGCTATATCATTTGTCAGCCATTATCCACAAATTCTAATACTCATCATTCTCACAGTCTTTGTGGGGTCGTTCTGGAAAACAATTGTGAGAGGTGTAAATGTGGGATGAGATTAAAAACTCACAAGATCGATACCAGGTACGCAGAGCTCAAGGATTGTAAGTAAGTGTTTGGCTCCAGCTGGAAAGATAGTTCGAGAGACGAGCGCTGGACCACAGGCACTGAGAGCACTGATAACAGCGGTAGTGCGATCAGTCTACGAGCGAGTCAATCCCTGCGCTTACATCATCAAAGAACGTTCTCACCTCCACCAGAGTTTCCAACGCATCCGCTGCGCGCTCCAAGATAGGCTCGATCATTATCTCAGGTTCTAGAACTCTGTCAGCTTGGACCTTGTATATGCACACAAATGCGGACCCATAGAGCAAATGCACTTGATGGTGCTCATCACATGATCGAAGATTGTCGGGTCTTTCGAGAACATCGCCAAGAGGACAACGGTCTTAACCGTCACAACCAACTCCCTTCTCATGTCTGTAGTGAGCCTTCTGAACAACGGAGTCTTACACTCCGGATCCTGCTCCTCCGCCCAGCGCTTCGAAAACTGGTTGACAACATGCCGCACCAACGCGCAGAGGTTGCCTGTCCAGGAACCGGAATTGCTTGGATGAAAGAACGACTCGGTGGACACGATGAGTCGTGCAAACGAATCGAGCGCTTTGGAGCCCGCGAGATACGTCTTGACCTTCTCGTGGTGAGGCTTGAACAGGTCCCGGAGGAGACCATTGGTCTTGTGTCCTGAAGGACCAGGTGTGAGGATTTCCGGGGTGGAGAATCCCGAGGAGGCGGATGCGGGTCCATCTCTCGACATGGAATAGACAATGATCCGTGCGAGGGAATCTGGGGGTCGTCAGTAAAGGAATGAGTATTTACTTTCTAACGCACGGATCTCCCACACCGGAGGCGGTAATCGCCCAATCTCGAAACTGGCTTGCGTATCTGTAGATGTCCCGGTGGCGAGGGATCCCTGGATTCACACTTAGAATAATGACAGTAACATCAAGCGCATGTGAACTGACTGTATCTGCCAGAGGAATGCCTACGAGGAAGGGGAGGATTGATAGCTGCCCTACGGGAGAGGAAGGGGAATACGCACTCATTGTGGCCAAACACTTGATCATCATGAAGTTCCACTGCTCCTCATCGAAGATCCCCACATCCTTGAACAGACCCTTCCACGCACCCTTGGGCACCGGGTCTTTCTCCCATACAATACGCTGCTTCCGGCCCTCTCTTGCGTCATCGGGGATCTCCCGAACCCGCTTGGGATCGCTGACGGTAGGGTCAACGTGCAATTCTGCAACCTGAGACAGCATCTGGAAAGACCGCGCATCCCAAACGCTTGAGTTGAACGCCTCCCACAGCTTGAAAATCATGGGCATCCATGAAGTAGGATGTGTGAGAGGCAGAAAGGCGCTCATGTAGTACTGTGCTTCTAACAGAGTCTACAAAAAAATCAACCGGAAATTCGTTGAGAAGGGCGATGAGACCCACATCAAGGTGCGCGCCTATGATGCCAGGCAGGAAGGTATCCAACATCTCGTCGGTTTCGATCGGATGGAAGAAGCGCTTGCACGTCTCTGCAAGGTTACCAAACTGAAGGGGCATAGAGCTAGAGCAGATCAGCTGGTGTAATTAATGACAAATATCTGGTATTTACTTTAGCTCGAACTGGCGACGGTTGAGGAAGGTGTTCTTCTTCAGATACGCATAGATAGGTTTCCAAGGAAGGCGGATGTCATCAATAGTGATGTCATTCTTCGACCTGTACCTCAGTTGTCAGTTTCGCAGCATTCAGGAGCACATCATCACGCTTACCTCATTAACGTGCCTAACCGGTCGACGGACATAGACACGAGTGGGTATGGGATGCCAGGCTGCACGATGAGCTCGTAGTACAACTTGCACATCGCCACACGCTTCTCTTTCGGTAGTTCATACTTAAGCGACATCCAACTACCATATGAGTCAGCAAAGTATCTTCGAACTTGTGGTCAGAAGCATACTATACGATCATTGCGTCTGCCTGGAGTACGCCAGGATCATAGTCTTTCGCAAGGGTCGCCTGCGCGAGCCTAAGAGCCGATCAACATGCCACACATGGGGGGCTTGGTAGAGCAAACGCACCTCCTGAGGTAGAGGTCCAATCGCTCCTGCATGACCTCATTCGGTTCGCGGGGATAGGGCAAGAGCGCGCTGTCGTGTGCCCATTTCTCCTCCCAAGTGCGCTTTCTTGGAAGGGACATGACTGTATCGTCTGCGTGTTCTTGTTACTGTATGCTGAATGCCCTGCGGTGGTCTGTGTTAAAGGATATGTGTGCCTTTGTAACCCTGTGCGTAAAAGGATAGGAGACACGCGTGTAGTACGGTCGGGTGAGGCGGGATGGGCGGTGGGGCGACGTAACAGCTTGCCCCTGGTTCGCCTTTCACCTGACGGGTGGCGGTGATGGTGGATGTTCAACCGTCTGAGAAGCAGCCAAGCCACAGGGATCGCGTCTTCTCTCGACACTTGTTCCACGTAAGCAGTTCAAGCAACAACGTCAATACTCGAGAAACGTCCACTGTAACGATACAAGAGGGGAGACGCCTAGAAAGGGTTGTGATGCAGCAAGGTGAATATATGTAGTCTGTTGAATAGGGTTGTCCATCCGCATACGATTGTACGATAGGAAGAGTCATCAGAACGTCACCGTTGAATTCGAAAGTGCCTGCACAAACCCTGCAGTGGATCGCATTGTTGTCGCATGTACAAGGGCAGGCAACCCACACTCTGGGACCAGGCATACAACACACGCGTCGATGGCAGATAGTTATAAACAAAAATACACTATTGATATATAGTTCAATCCACGATAGAAAAGTGACGGCGATCAAGGGCACCACAAAGTTTTGCGTGTCTGCTCATGCGTGATACATCCAGCCCTGCACGAGTCCGCGATTACTCTTATCCCCTTCGTCACAAGCCCTAACACACATGACGTCGCAAGAGCAGCCATTCAGTCAATGGTCTTCAAATCATCCTGCGATTCCAACGCCTTTTCCTTCGCCTGATCCTGAACCGTGAGAATAGAACTCATAGGCAGGCTTGAGCTTCCATCTGTCCCTAGACTTTCTTCCAAGTTGTGTTCTCGTCGCATCGAGACAGATATTCCTGCCGCAGCAGGGCGTACTGCGTTCATCTAGAATTGTCAGGTCAATGTTAGCTCCGATCCTCTGGACGGAAAGAACACACATTAGTGGACTTCATCGAGCTTGCTATCGGCAGGATGCGGACAAAAGCGGTGAGAAGCATCGGCACGGTGAAGGACATTGTCTAATATATCCCATCAGTCCCATCTGAACGCATAACAGAACGATAAATAACATTCGTACCATCAGCGGCTGGGTGATGTCATACCAGAAATAGACAAAGAGCAGTTGTTTCTGATACAGAACCACCAGGACGGTGATGACGATAGTGTATAGCATGTTCCCGGCGGAGAACGACCTGAGGGCGATCTGGGCCACGGTCATCATCTTGAACTGGTGACTCATGGCGCGCCAATAGACGAAGGAGATGAGCAGGGTTACTAGGACATTGTAACCGCAGTGAATGGACATGAAGAACGTGGCGCTGTGCTCCAGGAGGTCGTCGAATGTTGCAGCTGCGGGACGGAACAAACCGACCCAGGTGACGATGCCGGCCGCTGTTGACCTGTCAGCTACCTGAAACAATTTTCATGGCAGTCCATACCGATGGTACCCAAGTACAGCAGCAGCAATAATGCCAGCACGCCAAAGTACCCATGCTGTCCTCCAAGACGATCATTGTTCCGGAATAACTTGACCGCCCGGAAAAGCATCACACAATCCGCAAATGCCGTCTTCCATTCCCAGGTCACGACCGAGCCGATAAACCTCCAGTTCGTCGCGTCCAGATAGTACATTGCGAGTGCTACATTCGTTTGGTCGTTATTGACGATTCCGTCCAGGCATCGCATATTGCGGAAGATAAAGTATAGATAGTCAAAGAGTGTCAGGCCCATCGCTATGCCGGCTTGTCCCAGCAACTCCCGGGGAAGCCAGCCAAAGATACGGACGGAACTGTGCGATGATGCTGCTCGGACATAGGATAGGAGGAAGAGGAGTATGGCGGTGATCATCGTACTCATGCCTGGGGAACGTCAGTACTATAAGAATATTCACATACTGGACGCACCAAGAAGCCATTGTCCCATGATTGCGCCTGTCACGGTGTAAGTGGTCATTTGGGTGAGTATGTCCATGTCGGGCTGAGGAGGGCTGAGATGCTAGTAGTAGTGTGGTAGTAGTGTGCTGAAAAATGTATGACTGGGAATAAACTTGGCACAATTGAGCTTGAGAGCAACGAAACCAATAAACAGAAGCACAAGAGTGGAGGTGTATGGTTGAAGGGAGGCAGACTTGTCTCAACACTCGAAATATATGTCGATCCCTTCGTCTGCGTACGAACAACACCATGTGCTAGAGCAATTCGATCGCATGGTGAACCGTTCTCTTGGCTAGTGTCCAGAATCTCAGCTCGCAACTAGACCAAAATAGAGCACCAGAAAGGCATCGGTCCCGTTTTGAACAAGAGAGTAGGGCATATTGGGAATACTCCATGCGCTGATTAGGCAACCAAATTTTCTAGATCTATCCGGTCACTCGGTGCAGTTCGCACGGCAACATGAGTGGCAGTCACAGAGACAATGTCTCCCCCGGGAATAGGGCAACTCCGTGCGGCATAGGCGAAGGTAGTCGACGAGATCATCAAGAGTGCGAATATTTTGCGTGTATAAATTTGCCTTGTGCGAGCTCAACATATGAGCAACTAGATGTGACCGAACGTCATTGGCCATGGTGTAGAAATCCCGGGCAAAGGGACCGAGGACAGGTCAGAAATTTGCAGGATGAGCGGATCCGGTAGCGCTCCACAATACGAAATATTAATCACAGAACAGTCCACTAGCGGAACATGATAAGACAAATTATTGACCGGTGGAGTTTCTTCCGGACTTCCTTTTTGGCAGGGTTCGATCGCCGCCCTTTTTTTTTTGTTTCCGCTTACCAATCATCACGAGCCACGTCGTGCCCCATTAATGGAACCACAAACAGTCACACACGCCTCAATAAGCTTACCTTCATTTCTCAAGCCTCAGAGATTCGCTTCAATTTGCAACCTCATTGTAACCTCCAGTCCGTGTCTGTTGTAATGATTTCCAAATTATCGTCCTCTCGCTTTCTATTCTCGTATATTTGGTGCTATTCTCGATCGATGGAGCTGAAATGTCTGCGATTGATTCTCCAACGTTCTTGTCTATGTGACCCGATGAGAGATGAAACGCACTCCGTTTCGTCGGTTCATATTCTACTCGGTTCTGCGGTGGTTCATGTCGGACGAACGGGATGATTATTCGGCAGCCCGCCTCTCCTAGACAGGAGAATCTGCGCCCTTACGAAACAGTCTATCCGCGACACATATTTGGGAGGGATCGTGTGGTATGGTCACATCGTGAGAATCACCCCTCACATCCTGGAATGAAGAGTGCAAATCGTCTATTGCATTTCCTGTGCGGGACCGAAAAGCAAGCCTCAACATGACTGCTCATCCGCAACACGCCATTCCTCTGCCCACCTTTCGTTGGGATTGCCCGGTCACCTATTATCCCCGACAAAGTAATGGCCTAACCTGTTTACGCCTCACAACGGCAGTTGGAAAGAGCTCTATGTTTTTCCCTGCACAAGCATGCTTTGAGCTGTTATTCCGCCGACCGCAAGTGAGAGGTTCTTAAATTCAAGCACTTCCCGTTGTTATGCCCCGCTTCTCGTACCGGCTCCCTTGATATTCCCCTGCTCGGCAAAGCCGGCTTGTGCACTTCGTGCCCATCGCCCGTCTCATACGTGATCTCTAACAGAGCCTGATTCCGACTCTAATGGCATTCATATTCCTTGACTACATTTTTGGTGCCTTTCTGGTAACCTTTGCGTACTTCCTCAAACAAAAGAAATCGCCGACACTACCGGTTCCGCCGGGTCCTCAGGGACTGCCGATTATCGGCAACGCTCTGCAGATTCCCAAAGAACGCACTTGGTTGGTCTACGCTGACTGGGCGAAGAAATATGGTTCGTCTGCGCTCTACGATCTCCGATCCTAGGGTGACAATCAACTGCCGGCGTGTTTAGGTGATCTTACCCACCTGACTGCTTTCGGACAGCATCTCATCATTGTCAACACGCGTTCCGCAGCTCGCGAGTTGCTCGAGAAGCGCAATGCCTCCTACTCTGGAAGGGTTCATATGACTTTTGCAGGCGAACTCATTGGCTGGAAGAAGAGCGTCGCCATGGTCGAAGGACCACGGCACACCCAGACTCGTAGGATGGCCCAGCCTTTCATGAGCCTGAGCAGTGTGCGAGCTCAGTATGGGGATGGAATGACATGTGAAGCACACAGGCTTTTGCAGAACTTGCTCGACTGTCCGGACAAATGGATGGAGCATTACCGATCGTTGGTGCTATTCTCATACTGCATTTGAGGTCGTTCTTGATGCTCGATGCAGGAGTGCGGGGGCCTTCATCATGCTTACAACTTACGGCACTCAGCCGGGAAAGGAGCGGGACGCCCTGGTAGATGAAGCCAAGTCTGTGGTATACCACTTTTCGGTCGCGGCTACCCCAGGAAACTGGATGGTTGACTTCCTCCCCTTCCGTAAGTACGACGTCATCCACCTGTATTTCCAGAGTGTCTGATGCCCCGACCAGTCAAGCATGTTCCCTCCTGGGTACCTGGATTCGGATTCAACGCAACAGCCAAAACATGGCATGACGAATTGGAGCATCTCGTAAACTCTCCCTTCGATCGAGTCAAGACTTTGATGGTATGCCGTCACTCAATATGGTGGCTCATCTAACGGGATGTAGTCAAGACATCGCATGACTCCTTGTATTGCTTCCAGACTTCTGGAGAACAATCCCGATTTCGAGAGCGAAATGCTCATTCGCTGGCTTTGCGGCTCGCTCTTCGCAGCCGGGGCCGACACGACAGTCGGTGCCCTAGCATGCTTTACATTGGCGATGACCAACTTCCCTGCGGCACAGCGCATTGCCCAAACAGAGCTCGATGCTATTGTTGGTCGCGATCGCCTGCCTGCATTTCACGATCTCGACCATGCACCTTATGTCCACGCTCTAGTGAAAGAGGTGCTTCGCTGGGGTATCATCGTCCCCATGGGGTTTCCACATCGGCTTGCTGCACAAGAGGACGACGTCTACCAAGGTTGGCGGATACCGGCGAACACGTTGCTTATGCCTAATTCTTGGGCAATGTCACGGGATAAAGCAGTATATGGCGATGATGTTGAAGACTTCAGGCCAGAACGCTTCCTCGAGATGGACCAGGAGAAGCAACTCATGCTTGGCTACGGAAGTCCAGTTTTCGGCTTTGGTGGCCGAGTATGTTTGGGACAACATGTGGCATATGCAACCTTGCTTATCCAGATTGCAAGTATTCTCGCTACGTTTGATATATGCGGAGTGATAGGAAAGGATGGAAAACAAATCGCCCCCGGAAATGTGGGGTTTTCGACTGGGGTGGTCACGTAAGTATTGCCTGGCCCTTGGGTTTCCAGGTACCTGACAGCAGTCCAGGCATCCCGACCCTTTCCAAACTGTTCTCCGTCCACGGTCGAGGGAAGCAATGGAGCTCATCCAGGCCGCGAACGCGTTCGAGTGAGCGGACATGACTGCGACGTAATACCTCCGTGCATGGAACTTGCAGTTGGATAGCACGGGTCCGCTCCGCCAGTGATGATTTCGCAGTTAGATTGAGCTCATGGTTGTATGCTATTGTATGGATGGTGGTTTATCGCTCAACTAACCCCTCGACCCGTCAATTCGACGAGGCATCCTATTGTATGGTGGATCAGGGAGACTTCCGGGATTTGAAATCAACCTCCAGAGCATACAGAGCCAAACTGAGCAGGGTCTGTCCTCTCCACCTGCCACCGAAAGTTTGCCGAGACGGAAAAATTAGGCATTCGTTCAGATTCAAGGAGACTACTTATAGAATTTGTTGACAAGTTATCTAAGGGGAAAGCTGAAGCTCAGGGCTTGATACCCCTGAGTATCTAATCTTCACGGGGGCGTTCATATGGGGTAAAACTTACTTCGACAGGACAACCCTGTTACCTGTCAAACAGACTCCCGGCGTGAACAGTCCAGCGGTCTAGATTGGGTTCAACCTCCAATGTCTCGCACTTCACGGATCCGTCCAGTCGATGTTTGAGATCCGTTATGATGCAAAACTCTGTCAAATGCCATTGCCATTTCGAAGTAATCAAGAAGTCTGATAACAGAAGACCAAGAAGAAATGATACCCGCCCATACGAGCTCTCAAAAAATGACCAATGCGATTTGCTGTCAAGATCCACAACTCCGGACCGCACAGCTAACCCTCTGTAGATGCGCTTCCTCTACACGCGATCATGCATCCTCGTCTGACTCGAATGCCTTCTGTTTGTCCCCCTCTCCTGGTGACAAAGAATGCATCGGCATGCTATCGGTTGTGTAGTTATCCTCGAGTATTTCCTCCCGGCGCACTGCGACGGAGATACCGGAACCAGGTCCCCTAACTGGTGTCATCTGGATGTGGAGTGAGAAGGTGAACCGGCTCAAGAGAGAAGGAAGTCTTACGTTGGTGGACTTCATAGTGCCAACAGCCGGTAGAATGCGGGCGAAGGCGGTCAGAAGCATAGGTACCGTGAAAGACATGGTCTGCGGATACTGTCAATAGCTCTCCGCTGAGCTGGCATACCCTGCTTACCATGAGCGGTTGGGTTATGTCGTACCAGAAGTAGACGAAGAGTATCTGCCTCTGATACAGAACCACCAGAACAGTGATGAGGAGGGTATACATCATGTTGCCTGCAGAGAAAGATCGCAGTGCCAATTGGGCAACCGTCATCATCTTGAATTCATGGCTCATCGCGCGCCAGTAAACAAAGGAGATGAGGAGAGTGACAAGGGTGTTGTAACCACAATGAATGGACATGAAAAACGTCGCGCTCTTTTCGAGCAGTGTATCGAAAGTGGCCGCTTCAGGGCGAAGTAGACCAACCCAAGTCACTACTCCTGACGCTGGAGGATGGTGAGCAACATGAAAGATGACCGCCGAGAGAAACGACTTACCGACGGTACCGAGATACAACAGGGAGAGAAGCGCGAGTACGCTGTAATATCCAAACTGGCCGCCCAGACGCTCGTTATTATGGAAAAGCTTGATGGCTCGGAGGAGCATCACACAGTCGGCAAACGCAGTCTTGCACAGCCATACGACGACCGACGCAGTGAACCGCCAGTTGGTGGCATCGATGTAATACATCGCGAGCGTCACGTTGGTCTGAGCATTCCAAACGACTCCAGAGACGAAACGCATGTCCCGAAAAACAAAGTAGAGGTAATCAAAGAATGTGAGACCTATTGCTATGCCGGCCTGGCCAAGGAGCTCGGGTGGGAGCCAGCCGAAGAGGCGTCTGGAACCTTGCGCGGAGGCACCCCGCACGTACGAGAGAATGAACACGAGCATGATTGTGTCCATCGTAGTGATGCCTGGCGATAGCGTCAGAGTAGAGAGAGTAGAGGAGGAGAATCATCGTACCAAGCAGCCACTGACCCACGACGGCGCCAGCAGTAGTGTACGTTGTCATCTCTGTGAGCTCATCCATGTTGGGAAGTCCAGAAACGGGTCAGGAGTTTGCTCTAGAGAAAAGTTCGTTCCTGTGAAGTGTCCTTTATAGGGGAAAGTGATGGAGAAACCGCCGCAACAGTACACGGGCAGAACTAAACCGCATCGGAGAACGATTCTCAACAACAGTGAAGAAGCAGAGATCAGATCTTCTCCAGGTCACATCTGCATACATTGAGCGTCAAAATTAGGCGAGATACGATCTTCAGGCCCAGGCGCATGGCGCGAGATGTCAGAGAAGCTCGAGTTCGCTGGAGGCTGGTTACCCTGGGTACGGGGTGAGCAGTAGCATCGATGACAAGTCTAGTCGCCTAAGATATTGGCTCCCACGTTCCCGGTACATTGCGCTACTTTTGGACGGGAACCAGACACACGCAAACTCGAAAAGCTTGCACGGTACACGTGTTGTGGAGCACGAAAAGCTTCAACATCTCCCTATAGTTTCCAAGTGGGTGCTACGGTCAGAGGCGCCAGGAGCAGAAATTGGACCGTCCCAAATTTCTCAATTCGTGCAAGTTGTGCACCACGGCGGTTATGTGTACCAGGATGTATGCAATGTGATGGCCACAGAGAAGGAAGATCTCGGAAGGGATGATCTGGTGGAGGCAGAAATAGAGTCGCACTTTCTTCCGTGTGTCCTCTGGCGCCTTCACATGGACTCGGCTCCGGACAATGCCGTCCGATACTCAGCAGCGCCTTCATCAACAACACAAACAAATCAAGCCCAATTGGAGCATCAAGATCTCGTGACCAGGTCGCTTAGGAGCCACATCGCCGCCACACCAAGTGAAGAAGAAAAAAAAATCAGAAACTCAAACTGTTGCCCAATTTTAGGGGGCTTTTGGCTCTGACATCGATCTCATGTTGGTCTAGCCTTCTTTCCCCATGCATCAACCGTACATGTACGCTGGCTAATTGGTCGTTTGCTATATGAAGAACCCGCCGTTGTAGGCCGAACAGAACCAGGTTTGCATGCCGGCAAATGCGGGCCGCTCTGGTTGCTGGTTCCTTGTGTCGATGCGGCAAATTCAGACAAGACTGAAGCGGGAGCCTGGACCCGTCCTGCAACATTCTCTCACAGTGCCTGAGAATCCTACTTCGCCAAGAAGATCGGCGTCAATATGCCCGACACAACATACAACCTCCATGTTTTCCCATGGGAGTCTAACTGGACTTGCCAGGGAGGTCATTTGCTGCACTCCTGAGATGATACGTTCTCTTCTCTTCTTGCATCTGCTGGTCCGCTTCTACGGGCGCAATACGAAGCCGACGAAGCCGTCTCTTCACCGTTGATCAAAGTGTTGGTCGCCACCGCAAAGGCTTATCCCCTGGAGCTCCTGATAGAGTTTTTCCAAAAGGCACCCACAGAGAGGTACTCTGTAGGCATCCAACTGGATCACGCGTCACTTCCCCCGCATTCCATAGAAGTGCGCTGTCCAGACTGACTTTGTCTTTCGATCTCTCTGCACAGATCTTTCGTTCCCCCATCGTGAGATCTGAACCATGGCACTGATTCTGCTTGACTACGTTTTCGTTCTTGTTCTTCTTTTCTTGGTTTACTCGTTTTGGCGCCGCCGCAACTCGGATCTGCCTCTCCCTCCAGGTCCTCGTGGACTGCCCGTGCTCGGAAACGCCCTGCAGATTCCGCAGGAGCGACCTTGGCTTGTATACGCCGAATGGGCAAAACAGTACGGTGAGTTCCCTACATCCATTCTCCCTTCTCCCTCCCTAACGTCGATGAGCATACGCAGGTAGTCTGACCCACCTGACGGCCTTCGGAACCCACCTCATCATCATCAACGACCGTAAGACCGCGCATGACCTACTCGACAGGCGTAATGCGATCTACAACGGGCGTGTGCACATGACATTCGCAGGGGAGATCGTCGGGTGGGAGAAGAGCGTCGCCATGCTTCAAGGGCCGCGACATATCCAGACACGCAGGATGGGGCAGACGCTTATGAGCCTCGCTAGCGTACAGCAGCAATGTGGGGAACGGATGACTGCGGAGGCGCATAGGCTGCTCAAGAACCTGCTCGATAAGCCCCAGGAATGGATGGACCATTATCGCTCCAGCGCGGGGGCGTTCATCATGCTTACGACGTATGGGACTGAGCCTGGCAAGGAGCAAGATGCGCTTATCGCAGAAGCGAAGGAGGTGGTCGAACGGTTTTCTGTCGCGGCGACGCCGGGTAACTGGATCGTTGACTTTATCCCTATTTGTGCGTGGGTCCATTCTGCCCTTGTGTTTGCTAAGGTCGCAGGTAGTGAAATATGTCCCGGCTTGGGTGCCCGGGTTCCGGTTCAACGCTACAGGGAAAACCTGGCGCAGCCAGCTTGAGCATCTAGTCCACTCGCCATTCAACAAAGTGAAGACACTGATGGTGCGCAACTTCCCGCTAGCACATCCCCAACAGCTAACTTGGAAATAGGAAAAACACGCCGCCCCGCCATCGCTCGCCGCTAACTTCCTGGAATCCAACCCGGCCCAGAACGAGGAGCTCATCCGCTGGCTCTGCGGGTCCCTCTTCGCCGCCGGGGCGGATACGACCGTTGGCGCGCTCGCCTCTTTCACACTGGCGATGACGAAGTTCCCTTTGGCGCAGCGGGCCGCACAGGCAGAGCTGGACCGCGTCGTTGGGAGGGACAGGCTGCCCGTGTTTGCCGATTTTGAGCATATGCCGTACCTTCATGCGCTGGTTAAAGAGGTTCTGAGATGGGGGATAATCGTCCCTATGGGCTTCCCGCACCGGCTTTCCTCACCTGAACAGGATACGTATGACGGATACCGGATCCCGGCTGGCGCGCTGCTCTTACCGAACGCATGGGCGATGTCCCGCGACACGGGGGTGTACGGGGCAGACGTAGAGGTCTTTCGGCCCGAACGGTACTTGGAGATGAAGGAACTGCAGGGGATGGCGTATGGGATGGCGTATGGAAGTCCGGTCTTCGGGTTCGGCGGACGGGTGTGCTTGGGACAGCATGTAGCGTACGCGACGCTCCTTGTCCAGATCGCCAGTATTCTCGCGGCATTCGATATCTCCCCTCCGGTGGGGAAGGACGGGAAACTGGCTGTGCCGGGCGAAGTGGGATTCTCCAGCGGGGTCGTCTCGTACGTCCTTTTCCTTTTTTGAGTCTCTGTGTGGTGGGACTGATGGCGCATACTGTAGGCATCCGGAGCATTTCGAGACGGTCATACGGCCTAGGTCGGCTGAGGCGAAGGAGCTTGTCCAGGCGGCGAACGCCTTTGAGTGAGCTTACTTTCCACATTTCTGTCAGGTTTGGGTGCACGGTGGAAGGACGTATTCGGTTTATGCAGTCAATGGATACAGGTTCTTTGAATCTTTTACAACAAGGTCGTAAATTCGTGCAGTCATAATTCCGTATCATACCCTGGCCCATAGATCCCCTCCTTCCTACCTCCCGGTACCCAATCGCATCACTCAATCCTCATCCTCCTCCAGCACACTAGCCTTCACATGTACATGCTCGATACCTCTCTCCGGCAACCTCTCTGCCTCTCTAAGGACATCCGCTACCGTCGCTCCCCGCTCGACAGTAACGAGCAACCCGTGTTTCCTCACTCTTCCATCCCCTAATTTCTCATACGGGCCCTGTCCCCCAGTTGGGTAGAGCCAGAAAGCAACCCCTCCCCGTAGCACCTGTTCTTCTCTAGGCCGGGTATGTAGCTCGTGTGCTACGTGACCCGAGTGTAGGAGGTAGCGCGCAAGTGCGCCCAGGGAGGGCTCGGCGGTGCTGATCTCGTCCAGTGCGGAGGCGGCGAGGAGGGACTCGAGGATGAGCCCGGATTGGGCGAGGTTGTATGGGAATGACCTGGATGCTAGGGGGCGGGAGGACATCATGCGCTTGGTTGGGTGTATAGTGTTTTCCGTAGGAGAGGTTATGGTGGTCGTGGTTATGCTTGGACTGGAGAGTTGCCCGGCTGGCTTATGTACCGCTCTGAATGGACGTTTCAACCTGATGTTGCTGATGGTGCACAGCCTGCCGACGCTGACAGCTCACAGTTCACGGCTAACGGTTGGCGGCTGACGGTTCACAGCTCACAGCCCACAGCTATCAGGTCAATCAGAGGTCACAGCAATATTAGGCGCTGTGCACGGGGTTGGAGAGAGGTAAGAGCGGTGGATGGTTATGACTAGGATGACTAGGACGATGACTCGGTAGGTCGGCGGCGGGTTACGACATTCGACGGCGCTGGGTTGGACGGTCCCTTACTCCGACTGGCGGCTCCGGGGATTCTGGTGTCCGATCTCTGATATCAACAACAATCAAACAATGATAATATTAATGTTTAAGCAAAATTCGACATGGAACAGAAATAGAGCTAATAGAAATAGAGGGAAGGTTGGAAGGAGCGAAAGGAAGGAAGTAGGAGAGAAAGAGCGGGTTGTTATGGTGATGAGTATGAAAGGAGAAAGAGGGAAACGGGGCCGTGGTTATGGAAAGGGAATTGTACATAAGAAGAGCGTTGATAGTTAACTTCGTAGAGTTGAATATAAACGGTGATATAATATTAGCTCAACAGTGTAATATCACCCAGCTTCAATCTTATTCAGTATTTCCATTACAAACGAAACGATAAAAGCACAAAGGAATAAAAGCATAGAAACATTCAATGTAAAAAGTGACAATTAGTATGTGATAATAAGAGAGCGGAATCAGAATGGAGGCTGATTTGTTGTCTCTTCTCGTTGCTTTCCATTACTTTCATTCTCTCGTCCTCTCCATCGTCTGCTTGCTTTGCTCACTGTTCTCTGCTCTACTCTTTCGACGACGACGACGACTTCTTGTCCAATACAGACATTGTACAATACTTGACAGGCGACGGCGACGACCAGGATACGGGCGAACAACGGCACCAGCTCCCTCAGGCGACAAAAACAACGCGCATACATCTATCTCGGTAGACACCGACCAAGAGCGCAATGGTCGACCCGCGCGCGTCCCTCCTCCCAGCCTGGTCGCTCCAAGCCCGTCCTTCGCCTCTCCCAGACCTATCCTCTCCGCCAACGCCCATGCCTCTCCCCACGACCCTGCCCAACCTCCAGCCAACGCAGCCGCTCAACATCTCCCGTAGGCGGGACGATGAGCGTGCGCAGCTGAGAGACCGGGAACCCCTACCACCGCCTATGGGCTCTCTCCCCCCTCCGCCCCAAGCAGCGCGCAGTACCGCTCTCCTCCCCGCGACAACTTCTGCCGTCCCTCCCCCTCGCATCACACCTTCACCCGCAGGCCGCACCCTAGGGCTGGGGATAACCGCTCCTCAGCTCCCGTCGCTGCAAGTCCAGACGACTTTCCCGAGCAGCAGCACCACTCCCTCACAGGCACTCGACCGATCCCTGCTCTCCCCCCTCTCCACCCCGGGCAGCGGGGGGCGCGATTTGGGCTCTGGAGGCCCACGGTCTTCCCGCCCTAGCAGTAGGCGTGCGCTCACCCGCGCACTCGAGCTCGCCCAGGAGGCGGTGGAGCACGACAAGACCTCTGAAGCGCAGCGCGCGGTGGACGCGTATGGGAAGAGTGTGTCTTTGTTGAGCGAGGTCATGGAGCGCGTTATGCGGGGCGCGGATGACGATCGTACAAGGGAGAGGGAGGGGAGAGCAGGAGGGAGAAGGAGGAGTGTGGTGGCTAGGGACGAGGAAGTCAGGAGGTTAAAGGCTATCGTGAGTCCTTTTACTCGAGTGTACAGAACGTTGCTAAGGATCTGCAGCATGACACTTACGCGGATCGGATGCGTATCCTCTGCATCCTGCATAACATCGCACCTGCCCCTACACTCCCAGCTCACGTCCAAGCGCTCCGCTCACCTCAAACACCCACGTTTCCCCCAGAAGTCCAACCCCCGCTGCCTATCCAGCCTCCTCCCTCCCAGCCAACTGCTGGAAGGCCAGAAAGCCAGGATGCGACCGCTATTGGGAGCACGTTCGTCAGTCTCGGGGAGGACGACGCTGCTAGTGTCCTTGAGACGCCGTCTAGCACTACGGCACCCAAGGCACTGTCGCCTGCTGCAACGCAAGCTAGGAGTGCGTGGCACACGAGGGCAGCGTCAAGCGGAACGGTCCCTTCCCTTACCAGTGGCGTATCAAGCACCACTACTACTGCCACAACGACGACAACCGCTCCCCCACCAACTAACACAACCCTTCCCCATCCCGCCCAGGAACGCCCCGCCCCACCACCACGCTCCGGGTCCACGTCAGCCCACACGCTCGCCTCGCAGCGTACGGACCTTCCGCCTGCTCGCCCTCCTCCCGTAGTCGCCCTCCCTCCCTTGCCGGCAGAAGCCCGCCCAAGCAGCCGAGACGGCGCGGGGCCAAAGAAGAGTCCCCCGCTGCACGGCTCGCTGCGTCACCAGCAATCGCTCGGTTCTCTCCGCCCTCAAGGCCTCGGTTCAGAGCTGAAAGACCTACTTCCGGAGATGAACAGTCCTGCTACACCCACCCCGCCCGTCTTCCTCAACACGCCCACGCCGGAGATTGCCAGTCCCACCCCGGCCCAAGTAGCCACCCCAAGGAAAATCACCACTCGCAGCACTCGCAGCTCGAGCCTGAGCATGAAGTCCGGCGTGCTTGTTCCCCCCGTCCCTCCCCTCCCGCCTATGCCTCTCGCCCCTGCTCCTCCTCAAGCTCAGAACACAGGTGCTTCACCCCTCATCACTCCTGGGAGTCTTGTCAGTCCCTCCACTGCTCAGGGCTCTATCGCCCAGCGCCGCCGGGGCGCCTCTCCGCAACTGGGGATCCAGCCTCTCAGTCCGCCAACGCCGACACTCAACGGCACAGGGAACGGCCTCACTCCGCTCCCTTCTATCCCCGCATTACCGACTATCAAGCTCCCCTCCGCTCCTGTGAGTCAGACGGCGACCCCTATACCTGGGAGGCCGCAGACCCAACCCGCCCCCTCCCAGGCCACTCAAGCGCAAGGCCTCCGCCCTCCAGCCGCAGGTACCACAACCCAGCAGGGAAGGATGCGCGCTGTCTCCCAGCCCGGAGCACGGCCTTCTATTTCCGGAACACCCGGTGCACCTGGCGTCCCCGCTCTCCCTGGCCTGCCAGTCGATCTCCCCAGAACAGGGAGCAGCTCCGCCCTCAGCAGCGTCGCTACCACCCCGCTAAATCAGGCGCTCAACCTCCCTGGGATCAGCAATCTCAGTATACCCAGCACGCTGGGTATCACGCCTGCTGTGTCTACCCAACCGTCGCCTGTCTTGCTGGGTAATGGAGTGCTTACGCTGACCCCTTCGACCCCTCAGGTTGCCCCTGCTGCTGTACAGGTGCAAATACCGGAGCGGGAGAGAGAGGTAGGGCGCGGGAGCACAGGAACCGTCGCCCTCAGCACTGCGGGGATGGTCCCCCTGTCCCCTCTGCCCATGCCCAGTGACCTAGCGTTAAGACCGTTCCATATCATGCGCGCGCTCTTGCTGTCCATCCTCCACCCACCAGGGTTTTACCTCACTCCGCGCTTGTTTATCCCTACCACCCTCTGGTCGCAGGGCGGTGCGAAGCTGGAAAAGCTGCCGCAGAAGACGAGCGTGCTCCTGACCCTTGGCGCAGCGCTAGAAGAACTCCAGCGGCACTCGGACGAGAGGGAACGGGAACGCCGAGGCGGGTGGGCGCAGGAAGGTGCCGACTCGGAAGAACACTGGCAGCGGGCACTCGTCAATTGGGAAAGGGTGTGCGAGGGCGTGAGGGAGAGCACGAGGGGCAAGGGAGGGTTTGCGGGGATCCAGCAGCCTGGACAGGGTAAGACTGGTGGAGGGGGCATCGGTTGGGGCAGACTGGGCAAACAGTGGGATAAGGTCACTGGTGGGAAAAAGTGAGTTTTTTCTCTGGGTTGGACGCTGCCGGGCAGACGCTGATTGCATGACAGCCTTGATTCCCCCGCTGCATATGTCCAGAGCTTGACAAAGGTGTTCCAGGCTGCTCCTGTGATTGGTACGCTGTGCCTTGGGATTATTTGAGACGAGGTAACTAATGCTTGATTCAGAGAACCATCTGCGGGCTCTCCTGACCCCTAACGCTCCCTCATCCTCTGGCCCTCTCCCACAATACGATCATCTTTCGCCCTCGCAGCGCGCCGCGCTCGATCGCCGCCTGCGCATCTCCTCCGAGTTCTTCGCTACCGCCGTAGTGCCTTTCGTAGTGCGCGACCTCGGCTTGCTCATGGAGAAATACCTCAAGAAGGGAGAGAAGTGGTTAATGGAATGATGACATACCAGACGCGCCTGGAGCGCTTCCGCAGCGATCGGCGTCCGCTTTGACAGTGACGGAGAGGAGGTGATGTTGCATAGACAGTACAACCCGACCTAGTAGCACGACTTTTTTCCTCTTTCATGATCCAACTTTCTCCTGGCTTTGTTCTGCCTCGTTTTGCTCCTCCTTCACCATCGCATTGTACAACGGCTCTGCCTTGATTTAGTCCCGCTTCGATTGTTCTTTGGAGTTACTTTGGAATGGGTACAAACGCGTTCTACAAGCTCAGACATAGACGGAAATTCATCCCCAAAAGGATGAGTGCATGTGAGCATCCGAGAAGTTCGTCGGCGCCATTGGCTTTGATGATTGACAATTGAATGGGCATTTTATGTTCTATTGTTTCAGACTCGTTCTATGTGGGGATATGAGAGGCCAGGGCTGTTTGGGTCTTTACCAAAGAGCCGAACTCGCTCTTTCAGATTTGGGGACTTGTGCGTCATCAAATGAGTGTCTAGAAAGAGAAACCCAGGGTCTCAATGTAGGGACGGGTCTGCTCCGGGAGTAATTCACATGACATTTATTTTTCTTCATACTTTCACTCAGGCAATGAGGTTTTCCCATGGAGTCATTAGGGAAGGGAAAGAAATAACACACGCAAGAATTCATTGCAAGTACTGCTGGTAGGAATGTGGAGAAGAATGAGAACGTACGGTTGAAGAGGGCAGGCACACCCAAAGCGCCGACATGGTATCTTG